GCTGCAACATTCTCTTTTTAAAATGCAAAGCAAATTTTTTTTTTTTTTTTTTATTTGAGATGAACACTTTTTTCTTTCAAGATAAATTTGATGTAATTGTCCTGTTTTCCCTGTGATTGAATTGAAGTAGTATCACATTATGTTACTTTACATGTGTACTCGCCATTCATACTGGTATCCTAGTGTTTCTGGAGAATAGTGATAGAAATTTGGTCTAATAATCTATTGCTGAATATTAGTGCTAAACTTCATTTTTGGATGTATGTAATGTCTCTATACATATGTATGTATGTATTTTTTTCTGTGTAAATACTCTACATTGCTCCCTACCTGCTCCCCAAGCTGGTGATAATCCTTGTTATCTATGGAAAATGAGTTTCAGATATTTACCAATTCATTCATGATCTTAATATGTAAATCCAAACTGATTTTGAATTTGAATATTATGAATGTATATATATATATATACAACCCATAATGATTGTCTTTTAGTTTACAACCTGTATATTTGTGCCTAGTTCCTGTGGTGTAGTCCAGTTTACCAACATTACTTGCAATATTTATACATTTGTATATGATATGTACTTGTATTGTCTTTTGTTGGGTCTCACACACATGCACACACGAATCAGTCAGAGTTCAGCAAGTCAAAGGTCACAGAGGTCAGACTTTTTAGAATCATTCACTTGTTACCTGATCACTATACAAGTTATGTATTTGGATATTCATAAGTCAACTTGTAAACAAGTAATTATTTCTATCCATTATCAGTTTACATTCTGTTATGGAATAGTGGAGGAGAAGCTTCATAAATAATTCATACCGCTTTCCTGGAGAACGTAATGACAAATATGTCACAATTGATCTATCAGTATTGAAGGAGTGTTCAAATATCCGTCTATATCACAGCCTAATTTTGGTGTTACCATATTTGTTTATGTAAACGCATGCCTTGGTTTATATTTACGTTTCTTTTCTTTTGGCATTAAAATATATTTAGGTCTCATTTCTTTTGTCTGTTATTTATTCGCATAACTAAGTTTAATACAATTTTACAAAAGCCTGAACTCTGACCTCTGCATTTGTGTGTGTATGGAGGACAACCTTCTCTCCCTTACAGGGTTGGTAGGGTCTACCTGGTATATATGATAAAATGTTCCATATAGCTTGGGAAAGGTGACAAATACTGAATATTGATCAATAGTTTCCCAAACATATCCTAAAAAATACCCTACACTCAATAGTTGTGATTGGAGTTACTTATCTCCAGATCGAGATAGAACTTTCAACATTTAGGTGTTTAGATATTATCCAACATTTAGGTGTTTAGATATTATCCAACATTTAGGTGTTTAGATATTATCCAACATTTAGGTGTTTAGATATTATCCAACATTTAGGTGTTTAGATATTATCCAACATTTAGGTGTTTAGATATTATCCAACATTTAGGTGTTTAGATATTATCCAACATTTAGGTGTTTAGATATTATCCAACATTTAGGTGTTTAGATATTATCCAACATTTAGGTGTTTAGATATTTTTAACTAAATAAGAACTGGCAGGTTTCCTAGGATATATTGACACTTTGATTTGATTAAGTAACAAACGGCTGGTCAGCATGTTTGTTACAGGTGTATTTATATGTACACTTGTCTATTGTATATATCCTATGCATATTTACACAAATTCTATAATTTTAGGCTTCCTAAATGGATGAATTAAGTGTTTATCATGGTTTTTCTAAGGTCTTTCCAGGTCAAGTGGGTTCAGTCAATGTATCAATTCACAGATCCTATATAGGGTATAATGGAAGAGTTTAAAAGAATACACTTTCTAATCATTGTTTGAAATCAATATTGAGACACTTGTACTAAATATTGATGTTCTTTGATCACTATAATGGTAACAGCTGAAAGCCACTATTAGAGATGTAACCAACAAAACACAAAATCTGTGTTTACTGTGAATGGTTCTTTCTCTCTCTGTATATATACACCCAGTATGTCAGGAATGCATTCTATATGCCAGTTGTATTTTGCCTGGAAAAAATCTCTTGTGATACAATTTCTGATGTGAATGTAATTACTTAATTTACTGACTAAGGGTAGAACACTTTCTGAAGACATTATTCTGACAATGATGATTGACTTGACTTTGTATATATGAAAATGACAATTTGAGATGATAGAATGTCTCTTAAATTGAACTATGTCTTTTACTGATTTGTATGTAGTACTTCATCATATGTCAAAGTCAGGGATCTTTCATTTACAATATGGGAATATTATTTAGTATGTTTATACCCTGGGAATAGTAGTTAATCAGGTTTTGTGCTCCTCTGTTTCTCAAAGAATAAGATTTTTTCAGTGGAAAATAGGGGTTATGGACAGTTGGTAGTACTTTACCTTATCTTTAATATAAACTTAAAAAAACCAAGGCATCAAATGTGATTAAGAATTTTTTAGCTCACCTGGCCCAAAGAGCTAAGTCTGCAAATTTGGTCAGAGGCATCACGAGAGAAAGTGGAGCTTCTTTTTTTATATAAATGTTGTGTCTTGGTCGTAAGGGGCCTGTGGAGTTTGGCCAGAGATGAAAAATTTTGAAATCCTAATCCTCCTCTAGGAATGATTAGATTTTGCTCAAATTTGGTCTGAAGCATTGTTAGGTGAAAGGGAATCAATATTATTAAAATAGTAGGTCTTGGACCCCTGGGGTGAGAGGAGCAGGATCCAATAGGGGTAATAGAGCATATTCTTTAGAATCCTACTCCTACGGTAGGAATGATTGGATTTTAAGCCATCATGTTTTGTCCGTTGTCCTGTGCCGTCCGCTGTGTGTAAACTTCCATTCAAATGACTACTTCTCAATAATGTAAAGGGCCCAGGGTGCTGATATTGGGCCAATAGTAGAATGGGATGAATGGCTACCAAGTTTGGTAATATGAATAACTTTGACCCACTTTCAAGGCCACAGGGGTCAAATGTGTTGAAATATTTAAATAACTTCTTCTAAATAACAGAAAGGCCAAGGAAGCTGATGTTGGGCCCATAGCATGATGGGGTAAAGTGCTACCAAGTTTGGTCAAATGAATGACCTTGACTCATTTTCAAGGTCACAGGAGACAAATGTATAAAGAAAAATACAAGGATATTGTCCAAGTTTGGTCTGAAGCAATTTTTTTATGAATAGTGAAGCTGTCCTCTGTTTGACAACAATGGCAGGACCCAATAGGGAAATTATATCAGTTTATCATGTTTGAAATTCTTTACAAAATGACTGAATAGTTGAATTAGCCAGGTGAGCTATGCTGTGACTATTGATTTGTTGATATTATGGTATAGAGACCAGAGACTGTGACTGATGACACCATTAACAGGAGAACCTGATGCTGTTGTCCTTGACTACATTGATATACAGAATGTTTACTATATATACAGTGAATTCTTTCTGGTTAATTATACATGGTATTCCCTCAGATTAGACAATGTTTGTATATTAGGACAGAGACTATATAACAGATATTATAACAGTTAGAGTGTTGTTGTATAAAGGGAGGTAATTACGAGTGACTTGAGCTTCAGAAAAAAAATTTGCATAGATACATATCTGTCTGACTGAATAATGAAAAAAAAACATTTATAATCATATTAACAGACAAAGGGAGGATTTCGTTGTTCACTCAAGGCCTAGAGAGGAAGATTTTATATTTTCTGTATATAAATACCAATATCAATAATTTGAGTAACAAAGTTGAATGTTTTCAAATATTTTATTAACATCGAATTGATACAGTCTCATGATATCTCTAGACAGAAATATGTTGGATAAAGAACTGATAAAGCCATTAAGTCCTGTTAGAGAGCTAAACTTAATTGTTGTGCTTTATAAATAAGTAAGTAGATCCTAGACACTTGATTTTTGTGGATAAATAGATCAATAAATCCAGTTATACAAATTTTAACGGTTCAGGGACATATAACTTTGTGGATTAAGACTACTCACAATATCAACAAAAATTAGTTCCCCACAGAATTAGATAATTTCACAGTATATGTGACCGGAGTCCTGTAATATTGTTACTTAACTAAAGATTCTGAAACTGGACTAGAGGTCTGTGATTCAGTAAATGATATCCTGTAACTAGACCAAGAAGTAATCTTAATTGACAAGTGATCCTCTTAATAGGCCTAGGTGTGTAATTATGACTTAACCAAAACCCTATAAATTAAAACACAATCCTGTTATAAACTAGACCTGAGCATTGTACTGTAATTAAAACACAATCCTGTTATAAACTAGACCTGAGCATTGTACTGTAATTAAAACACAATCCTGTTATAAACTAGACTTGAGCATTGTACTGTAATTAAAACACAATCCTGTTATAAACTAGACCTGAGCATTGTAATGTTACTTCGCCGTAGATCTATATATGAATATAATTGTAGACTTGACAGATCATGTCCAAGATCCTGTCTGACATATTTATGCGAGTAAACAAGGGTCCAGTAACGTAACATTTGACCTATTTATGTGCTTAGAGAAGGGTCCATAATGTACCCTCTGACATATAACGTGATTAAACCTTGGTTCTGTAGCTTAACCTTTGATGTGTAATGTTAGACTTTGGTCTTGTAACATGACCTCTGACCTATAACATGATCAGAACAGGACCCTGTAACATAACCTTTGACCTATAATGTAATAAGTGCATGGTCATATAACATGACCTTTGACCTATAATGTGATTAGCACATGGTCATGTAACATACCAGGGTAACTGTTGACCAGTATTGTAATAAAACCAGGATCCTGTAGCATGAACTTTGACCTAAAATGTGATTAGACCACAGTCATGTAATATAACATTTCACCTTTATGTACTGGAGGCATTGATATTTATTGTCTATCTATCTGAAGATAAAACTTTTAATGAAGGTTTAGAAGAATGTTATGCTCTATGTTCCTGGATTGCTGAATATTGCACTGTTACCAGGAGGAGACACTTCGTGCATCCATGGAGGAGATTGAGAAAAAGAAACAGGAACAGAAGGAGGCCCTGATCCAGGAGATGGAAAGAGCAGAGCCTAAAGCCACACAACAGAATGTCCCACATGCCATGAGGAGTTCCTTTATGTTTGGGGTAATTTTCTCTTATTTTGTAGAATTATTTTATTATAGATGCTGAACCTTTCCTCACGATACAATGCCAATGGTATATAAATATATGTATCAAACTTTTCTTGACAAACTATTAACAAGATCAAGAATTTTACTAAATACCAGTTGTTGGCATCTCACTTCTTAAACCAGACCTTCAAAGTTATTTCAGTGAAAAGCAACCATTTTAATGTTTTTGAAGTATTTTGGCATGTTTTACAATCATTTTAAGTAAAAGTTTGACAGTACATAAAATTTAATGGTTTCTGTAGTCAAGACTTGGTTTAAAGGTAATTAAAGAGAAATATTAACACCATTTTTCCTTTGAAATTTGACAAAAGTTTTATGACAGGTACATACAAAACATATATTTAAGATGAATACTGTATTGTTTCAAAAATATGTATATTTTTCTATTTCTTTTTTAGCAAGCGGCTCCAGATTCAGATCAGTTTGAAAACACAAAGGAACTGGAAAGACGAAAGTGGATAGAAGAATTAGGTAAGTTCAACAGAAATAGTCAATAGCCATGTATTTCACTGGTGAATGATTTCCTTGTCATGCCTTGGGGAGGAGATGGTGCGAGGAGGGGATTCCTTTATGAAAACTGTGACAATAATGTTGGAGATATACAAAGACAATCAATGGAAGTCCCACCATACCTCAGTAACCTCGTGTCAACAACACCTGTAACTGAGGTTACAACATATATCACACAATGGCTCCAAAATAACACAACAAAATATCTGTCACCATCTTGTTGGTGAGATGGGGTGACCTCAAACCTTCATGGAATCATTATTCAGTTGCCAAACACTTTGTAAGCTTCATGTTTTTTAACTTAACAGTCTTCCTATTGGGTTGTGATCTCTCTCATCCAATGCTTGAAATACGCTGTTATTTCATGTGTATGATGTATTCTGATTGTGTAATGGGATATATTGTTTTGACAGACAAACAAAATGAAGAAAAGCGTTTGAGACAGATGAATAACAAGGCCAATAATAATGCCAGCGAGGAAACTTGGGCAGACAAGTTCTCGACCAATCACAAGTCAGCTGGGTTCTCCGATCAGCTTAGAGAGCCCCCTGCTGGCAATTCAGACCTCTACTCACCAAGAGACAAAACTCAAGATGGGGGAAGGGTTAGCAGTGCTCCAACACATACACAAGACACAGATGAAAAGTAAGTCACTGCATAAAGACTGAGTGTATTGATAATCAGTGCCATAGCTTTTAAGGGATATGTCTTTTACAGAATTACTTTAACCATATCAAAAAAATTATTAGGATGAAAGACTATATTAAAATAACAGAAAATCTAATGATTTTGAGACAAAACAAGCATCTTCTCCCTTTAAGACAGATAAATGAAATAGAAGGGAAAAAGCACCTTGGATTGGTTAATGAAGTTACAATGTCTGTTTAACAGGACATATATACGAGGCCAGAATGTGTTCATAGACCCTGTCACCAAACGGGAATTAGAGGAAAAGAGGAAACGCTTACTGGAACACCAGGTAAGATATCAAAACTAGAAATCAAAGAAAAGAGAACTCTAGCTTATCTAGTGTGTGGACACGTCAATTTCATCATCTGTTTATTTCATCCAGCTTTGGTGATTACCACTGTATTACATATGCTATGGTTTTGTCAATATAACTACAGAGAAGTAAATGTGTTGGAAAAAATTCATCACTCCTCTGTTATGTAGAAATCTGAAATCTCAGGAAAGTGTTTTGAAAAATGCTTTTGCAAAGTTATATTTTATATACCTCAGTCTTCCTTACATACTAGTGGATAATTCTGTAAAACCAAAAACACACTACATTAAACATTTCATTGTGTTCGGTATTATTTTATCATGAAAACTTGTTTTGTTCCTGTCATTGGTATACACCTGTATATAAACATTTGGAATTATATATAGTGGTATGAGAATTCAAAGCCACAGATATTACTGCTGTAGCTTACTTATTAATAGACACCAACATGTTGATGATCTTTATATTTGATGTTTGACAGCAAGCTGTGATGGAGCAGGTTCAACAGAAACAGCGAGAAAAGCAGAGAGAAAGGGAGCGGAAAATGCAGGAAGACATGGAGGAAGAGAGGAAACTGCAGGCTGAGAGAGACCGCATACAACGCCAGTTTGAGCAGGAGCAAAATAAAATTAAAATGAAAGAGGTAAAAAGTCTCTCTGAATTGGATAAAGGTTTTGGCATAGAAGTATACATTAAGCATAAATTTTAGTCATCAGCTTTATTTTAATCAACTTCATGCCAATTATATAAAATATAAATTTTCTATCTGTTTTCTTTTTCGCTAAATTTTTAGTGCATTAAAATATATCAAAATAAATACTTACCATTTACAGTTCAGTTTGGAGTGTAGCAAAAGATGAAAACTGAAATATTTTTAAAATTTTGTTTGGAAAAAAAATGTGTGATAGACTTAAAGAAATCGGAAGGAAAGTTGTAGTATCAACACTTTGTGTTGTCAGCTAAAACTTACAATTTTTTGTCAGGATTGAATATATGGGAGGAATTAACTTGAGTAAAAACTTTAGCCAGACAACAAGCCATTTTACAACTATAAATAAGATTTAGATAGGGTTTTGTATTCACTGAGGAATTTTTTGATGTATACATACATGTAGAATACAATATACAAACAAAAATGTTCCATAGTATACAAATACACACTTTATACACAGACAGAATCAACAATCAGTTTTTTATCCTTTATACCTACAGAATCAACAATCAGTTTCTAATCCTTAATCTTCTCAGTAATAAATGATAAAGAATGTGGTAGGTATTGATGAAATATAAGTTCACCTTCCGCATTTTTACATTCTTCGTGAAGATATGAAGTAGTTTCAATTGCAATCTTTACATGCTATGGAGCCATAAGACTTCAAGTAATCTCCCTTAGAATATCATTTGACAGCATTGGAAAAATGTTAAATGTCTTAATTTAAAATTGTTACTAACTAAAATACAACCATATAAACAATTTGTCAATGATTGGTAATTGTTTCTCCTTTGAAACCAAATTTTTTTAAAATCCTATAAACCATTTCTCTGTTGCCTGCCAAAGGTAAAATATCAGTATTACTATGTTAGCTGCAACAGTGTCATCATCCGCACAAAGGGTTTTTCAGGACAACTTGAGTTCACTTTGTCCCATCTTGCTCAAACTTCATACATTGCCTCCTTACCAAAAATACTTACTTGGGATTGCTTTTCTGGTCAGAAAGTCAAAGGTCAAGGTCACTGTTATTATAAATAGAAAATTAGTTTTTTTCATGATACCTTCAGTGATCTTAGGTAGATCAACCTCAATCTTCATACAGTGCTTCCTAACTAAAAGTGCTTTCTCCAGATTGCTTTTCAGGTCTTCTTAAACAAAGGGGCTTGTTTGAGATTGCTTTTCAGGCAGGTTGTCCCTATTCCTGCCGTATTTTGAGCAAAATTAAATTATATCAATTGAATAAATACAATGAATATCTATGGCTATTGTTCCATAAAACTCATCCCCAGTCACCCTGCTGGGCAGGCGACACATCTTCCCCGGAAATCTTGTCTTACTTCCATTATAGCAATAGTATCGTTTCCTTCTAGAATTACTGCACACAAATCCCATTATCATTGACAATGTTGACATCTGTTTTTACAATTCAGAAGCTTTGATTTATTTGATGGTAATTTTCAGTCAAACAATTAATGCTATTTGTAGAAATATTATGTACTTTTTAACTTTGTTTTTTAAAATGTTCACAGGTACGAAGACAACAGGAAGTTGACAAGTTAAAAATGGCCATGGATGAAGCCCACGAGTCTGCTCTTCGTGAAAAAATATCCCGGCGTCTGCAGCATCTGGATGAGGGAGGTCACGATACGTCACATCTCAAGGCTACATTACAAGGTAAGCAACATATAACATAATATATACTGGTCATATCAATGGACCATGTCATGTTTAAGTCTAGATCACACTGAGACTAGCAAGTAGAACCAAGTTTCCCAGATGAGAAATGGGAGAAATTTCCTAGTTAAGCCAGAAGGGTCTAAATTTCAACCATTCCTAAATGTTATGGATAAAAATTGGTGTTTACATGTCTTTGAAAATTTGGTTAGAAATGTGATGAAGGTCATTCTTGGAGAGAGAAAAAAGGACAATCAGATGAGTTTAGTATTTGAGGTAGTTCTTGAATGAAATTCATAATATTCACACTTTCATAAGGGGGAGGGCTTATTTGTTGAGAAACTTTGTTTGATCCACCAAGGAAATTGATGTACGGGATATTGCACAGATAGAAAACAGATTTCTTTGGAAAGTCTTCTCGCATGTCTTCCTGTGTCACTTTTACATACTGATCACTTTAGCAATGTTATAAGTGTTGTAATATTGTTGGATCAGAAACTTTAAGTAGATTTTGCTGTACCTGTCTTTATGCATGAAGTTTAGGCTAGAAATGAACACTTCCAGTATTAACTGTTGTCCATATTAGAACCTCAATGTATGATAAGAAATAGATGCAGACTTTTTATATGTTTTCTAATCACAGAATTGCATTGTCTAAATATATCACAGGGGCTTGACAAGGTTAAATTTCCATCCTCCACAGTGTGTACAATGGGATATACTGTTTGACCTACACAGACTGTGGGGTTTGGTGATCTGTGCCAGGTCCCTGTAAAATGTTCATATTTTCTTCTTGTGTATATTATTTATCAGTAGTTATGTATTTTGTCTTATTTCTATAATTATTCACATGCTGATTATTTTTGTCCTTGTGGTCTCTTAATGCGTAACTCACATCTACAATATTTGCACATGTATTTTATCGATTTTCAAATCTCGTTAGTTTTCAAGTATTTCGTAATCAAAACCTGCACCAGTTTAGGCTGCATGAGATGACATTTTTTTCTTTCAGAAGGATGTTTTCTTGTAGAAATGATTTATAAGTTGACTTATAGCCAACATATCTTTAAAATATATAAGTAAACCTTGTTGGCTGCATCCCAACTTTCAATGTTCTAGACAATCCCCAAAGTGGCCGTTACCTAGCAACTGACAGGGAATCATTTCGAGATTACAACAAATCTAGGGGTATGAATCTTAAAAGTGACCATCTCTGATTGGACACTTTGTGTTTGCACTTGCACACTGTTTGTTTCACTCCATCCACATGTGTTTCTTTGCATATTCAAACAGTTAATGATGTTTTCATATTCATTAGATTCATGATCAACAAATGTTGAATATTCATAGGAATGCTGTATATATGTGTTTTGTATGCAGCATTCCCAACCATTTCATTTCCACTGTTGACTGTTGCATATTCATCCTTTGTTCCTCCTTTTGTTCCCATCAGAAAAGTTGCCAAATACAGGTATGTAGATAACGTCCTTGACCTTTGATACTGTGAAGAAGATCCCTATAGGTAGAAATTACATTTAATTGAATCTCGGGAGGCTCACTGGAAAATATTGTAGATTTTAGTTATATTTTGTATCATTAGTTAGTGTATATTATTCAATTTTTTTTTTCTTTATTTTAATTTATTTATAAGTTGAATTAACAAAGTGATATCTTGGTATTGGATACTCATTGAAAATGACTATCACTTTATGTAAAGAAATCTGTACGAATGGTAAATCTAAAAGAAAAACTCCAACTAACTGAGAATCCTGTATTTTAATTCTAATGTATTTTTGCTATCTTTAGAGATGTTGATCTGTCAGATACATTGTAACAAAATGGTCGTCATTATCTTCCAAGATTTTAAATACAATTGAAATACACATATTTTATTATCATATATCTCTCCTCATTATAGCAGGCAACTTGTCCCGTTAGTTTGAACACTTTCAAACATAATATTCTATAATGTCAGATTTCATTTTTTTTTATAAACAAATATCTTTTTTGACATGTTTTTGTTATAAATATATGGATTCAAAAGAAAATTCAACATTTAAAAGTTTGAGACATTATAGTGTTGAGATTATTAAAGACTGAAGTGTTCAATATACTCTCCCCAGGCTTAATTCCCTCCTCACCTTTTCATAATCACTCAGCTTAATTATATTTCCTCTACTCTGAAACTGACATGCCAAGACATGGGGATGTGGGAACTCCATGTTTTGGTTGAGGGTCATCAACATTTCAGGCAAATTTAACTACATACTATCATTCATTTGACTAAGACTTGACAAATGTATGTCTTATTCCCAGAAAATAACAACATATCTTTATATTTCGTAGACAACTACCGAGGGGTCAACATGTAAGATAAGGTTTAAAAATAATTTATCAAGGCTGATTATAGGCTGTGTAGGTAATTAATTCTACAGAAGACAAATTGAAAATATGCAAAGCATAATTGAAAACAACAGTCATAATTCCAATGTAGTTTGAGTTAAAGCTTGAAATGTAGAGACCTGTTTGATTTGATGTGCTTTCCCTCATACAAGTTCATCTGAATTAAGGTCATCATGTTTGATAAAATCATAGTGTGCAGTAACTTTATCAAATGCATGATTCTTTATACAAGCTTATTTCTTGCAGCATTTCAGGACCAATATCATGATTTATTTGAAGTACATGAAATTTGTGATTACCTCTTATACTTTTTGTCAGGCCTGTGAAAAAATGTGACAATTTTTAGTGACAAATCTTATCTACTTTTATCCTGTGGTGTGTAAATTGAGACATCAAACTATTTCTCCCATGGTTTTTAAGGTCATCTAACCTGAAGGGTTATGATGACCTATAGCCATTGTGCTCCGTGCTGCCAGTCGTAAACATTTTACATTTCAACTTCTTCTAAATTTCAACCAGTGGGATTGAGCGCAAACTTGTATGAAATGATCCTGAGATGATCCTGAAAAAGTGTTTTGTGGAACGGTCTGAAATCCAAGGTGGCAGTCATGGCGGCCATTGTCAGATGACTGTTAAGGGCCATGGCCCTTTTGTTTTACTACTTTGTGATTTGAGCCCATCAATTAAAATTTAAAAAAAAATGAGATAAAATTTCAAATTTCAAATTGGGAAAAATAAGAGAATATATAGAGTACAAAGAAACTCAAATTTAATTACCTTCTGCACTTTCAGTACATGGGAAGGAACCATTTAGATTTTGTGACAATTTTTTAAACTACCATGATTCAATTGTTAATTTCAAAGCTGAAATTGGGAAACAAATGCCTCACTTAAAAGAATGATGTTTGAGCTGTAATTTTACAGGGTATGTGTTAAAACTATTTTATGATTTAATTATTCCAATTGAGCGGACAGATCTGTAACAAGACATGAAATTTAAAAAAAAAAAATGTGATGCCATCAATTTAATATAAAAATCAAACACGCAGTGAATGCATCAATGCAGATTCTGATTCATTTGTGATATCTGCTCCTACAAGCAGACATACGTAATGTAATGATATACACAGCCTGATAAAAAAAACTACCAATATCAATATTTGAAATTGTTTTTTATCACAGAACTGAATCAGTAATAAAATGGATATACATGTATGATGTATTACAAGACATCACATCATATTTATTTGAATTAAATGAGGCCTTTATACTGCATTATCACACTAATGTTAACATCTTATAACGTAAAGGAGCAGGACTATTATTATTTTGATATGGACCGAATTTCATTTTAATATCCTGGAACGATGTAACACACCGTATATACAAATATGGTCAAATATAATTTTTGTTTAAGGAGTTATGCTATGTAACTTTATCTCCACTGTGAAGCGTATACAATTCCTAAGTCAATGTATATGTACTTTTAAGTTTTCTAGATATTTAAATTCTTGTCTCTTGTTTGGGTAACCTACTATTATCAGATATACTGAAGTGTTTTTAAAAATACAAAATTCTTTAGAAACACTTTTTCTCTACTTATACAAATTACTTTGTGTTTGTGTGAGTGGTTTTGCTTCACTGTTCATTGATTTACCTATCCAGCAGACAATGTTATATATAACGTGTCTTGTCAGAAAAGTTTTCCTGTACATTTGCTAACAAATTATCTTCCGCTTCATACATAAAGAATTATTTCTACAGTTTTATATACATGTATATACATAAATCATCTTAGAAAAGTATAGTGTTGGTTTCAAATGGTTGTGTAATAAATAGCTTCAGTTCATCACCATTTATCTTCTGAATCCACTTGTACTCTCAAGGGATAAACCATTCTGTAAATCTAAATTGTGGTAGATTCAGATTTGACTGGAATATTGATTTTCTGTCTAGTGAAACTGTAGGTCATGAAATACACAATTCTGTAACCAGATGAGAGCAGTTTGACACGTACATTTAGACAAGTTGTCGAGATTTATGGAAATATGATGGTACAATCATGGCTGATAACATTCGCAGGATATGAATTGTGACAAGTGTTGGTGTCAGGTTCACTCCATGTCATGGGATAAACTGTAAAAATTTCTGGCAGATTTCACAAATTTGATTCTTGCATATGAATTTATCAGAATTGAAATTGATCATTGGATATATTATTTTCAACAATATGTCTCCATTAGAATATTACATTGAATAACAGTTCCTCAAGTTTCCTAAAGATTCCATTTCATCTTCAAATTGATAGCATGATACAGATAAAATTCCATTATCTATTACAAACTGTAAATGTAAATAGGTTGAAGTAGATAGCTAATTATATTGTGTTGGTAAAGATGAAAGTTATAGTAATGCAATTGAGCTCTTAAAAATTATTTGCCACCAAGATAGTAAAAGTTAAAACAATATTCCTATTATGTATGGATATACTCACATCATCAGAACATAGTCCGTTATAAACCAGCATTTTCTAACTGTATATGTATAGGATTTTCAATTTTCTTACATATGCTGAGATAATAGAATTACAATCATCATTTGTTATCTTCAATTGGAATCTTTAAGAATAAATATTATACATTGTGAATTATTTTGTGTACACAATATACATATATATACACAAATATGTTCGAAGCTTATGAAGTAATCAAAAATGGAGATCTTTTAACAATTCTGAGTTATTCCTAGTGGTGATGGAAATTTGTTTTATTACAATTTTTATTGGTCTTGCTCAATATATTCTTGCTTTCAGGTTAAAGTATGGTTACAGAAAATATGTGGAAAAAAATGTGAAAAAATGTGACGTTATCTCCTCAGTAAATTTCTTTCTCAATGTTGTAGCCAATATTTGTCTTTCTTATTTTCTTTTTAATCTCTTTCATCTCCTTAAATGTTTTCTTCATTACAGCAAAATTAACACCCCGAAATAATAATCCCAGTACTTATGTCCAGCCAGAGTACATTCCAGGCTTGAACCTGGAGTTATCTCCCCGCACAGGGCCAACACACAGATCACACAGAGAGACCCAGATCTTGGATAATGCACCATACACAGAAAACAGAGTCCTGACCCCAAGTCAGTTTCGCCATGGTAACGAGGCCTCACGAGAGTTCGGCACTCAAACTGGTATGGGACATTACTCTCCCCTTGTGCCTGATGATAAAACAGTCAATGATTCTGATCTATTTGAGAAGGGTTTGTATAGAATTCAGTCATAGGCATGAGCATGGTCAATAAACACCAACAGGTATTCATAACATTTCTTTTGCATGTTTTGATGTAGTATATCTAGAGCTGACACAAACCTTGCACGCCAGCACAATTTTCTTCCTGTATTCCTGGGAAATATAATTCACTGCTTTATCAAGTATTATTATAGCTGTGTATAGTCCAATAGTACAAATCATACCCTGATCAAGTGCCAACATCATTTGGTGTGTACTTTGGATTTTATGGTGTATGAGCAGGATAATGGTTATTATCCAGTATACTGAGTATATATTTAATAATCATCATTAACTTTGCTAGTCCAAAGAGACAACTCTAGAGAGATTCCCCATAGTGGCAGCCATTGTAAATATGCTGGAAAGTAAAGTTAATGGAGACATTAGAGGAATTACTTGGTTTACAACATTTAATTGCTTTGACACATAATGCAAGTTAGTCGAAAAATAATTGAGGTCACCGAAGTTTGGTGTCTTTATACAAGGAGGAATTCTGACCATCATCTACAACCAAGGCAAAAATAAAATTGCAGATAGATAGTCAGAACCCATTGGACTATAACTTTGCACATGTTGGGCATGGTGACTGTCTAAAACTAGACACATTCATGAATTTTTCATATTTTTGCTCTCATTATGAGCTTTAAAAAATGGGCTTTATACTGATGATAGCGTATGAAGGCAAACCTTAGAAGTTTGTTGTTTGGTCATAATGGGTTTAAATACATTCCAAAATTCCACCATGGTTTAGCGCATGAGGAATGAAATTGGCTGTGAGCTTCAAATAAATGCAAAAATAAGTCCTATTGATTGACCTGCATGTAATAGTAAGCATGATGTTGTATCAATGATGTTATATAATTTGGATCAGTTACCTTGAGGAAAGATTGATTCCTCTTTCATCAGGTGTTGTCTTATGTGTACCTCTACTTGATGGGAAATTTAAGATGGATGTCAGTTTTCACATGCTTGTTTTTATAAATTGGGTTGTTCTGCTCTTCTATTCCTCTGTGATTTTGACATAAATAAAATTACAGTATTTTCATAAAATTGAAAAAAATGTATTAAATATTTGGCATTTGCATATAGTGTTTAGATATAGGACACAAGTTGGATTGATTGTTACAGCTCGCAATTTTCTCACAGTAAATTGTTGATTCTTTTTAAAAGTTCTGAAAAAAGCACTAGATGAAATTGAGAAAATGGCAACATCAATTTCTGCATAAATAGACATAAGTGATTCCTAGTCCTTTGATAATTTATAACAATTTATATGCCAATGAATTTTATTAGATAAGAAAAAAAAAAGAATATGGGGGAGGTGGGGAATCTGACACAGGAGTAAAACCTTAGTTGAGCAGAGGATAGGTGGAAGAATGTACTGGTATGATACAGATGGGTCCCTCAGATAAGAATAGAATTTGCCCAATTTAGACCATTCCTTTCTGTATCATTAACTTCTTAGCTTTTCAGTGAAACTTAAGCATTACTATCTTTTTACCTTGTAAATGTTATAATTATCTGCAAGTTTGGATATTTCAAGATAATTGTGATATAGTTTTTTTATTTCAAATTATTTTTCACATTGTTCAACTTAACATTTCTATTGTACATTTTTATTTTTCAGTCGAATTTGGTACAAATACTGATTTAGGCACAAACAGAGAGCAAAGTGAAGTCCAAATCATGTATAATGCACAGGGCAAAAGGGTACGGGTAAAAAGTGCTGCAAAGGAAGATACAAAGAAATATCAACGAAAACCGGAACCTCCAGCGGAAAAGAAGTCAAAATCTAGGTTAAAAGAGGAGAAATCAAAGGAAAGACCCAAATGGAATTTTCAAAATAAACGACGCAAAAAGCCAGTGAAACAGTCAGAAAAAGATATAAATTTCGAGGAGAAAAGAAAGCAAAGTGAAATAAGGCGCCTTAAGAGAGAACAGGAATTGATGAATTTAGTGGACATGAATCGTGATCGTATACCTACAGAGAAACCAAAGGGAGCTAACTCTCGTGGCCACTCACCTGTGTCTGATCATGAAGGTCATAGATCAAGGAGTATTGAACGGTTTAATGCTAATCGGAGGTCTAAATCTCATTCACCCGAAAATGTCAGTGCACGCCATCAACAGACATATCGGATGAACTCACCCAACCAGACACAGCGGTCGTCTTCACCCGTACCAAAAGTGGTTGGAATTGTTGACAGCAATCACAATACAGCCAGGGGAAGATCACCTCCAGTTCCTGCCTTGAGATACAAAAAAGACAATGCATACGACGTACAAATAGCAGAGAGACAAACTGCTCGTAAGTACACTGACAGAGACCCTTTAGATGTACCACTGACGGATGGAGAATTTGTGCCATTCTTGAGAACTGTCGAAGTGCTTGACCCTGCCCGTGCAGGCTCCCCTCTCCAAATATCAAGGGAAGCTACAGCTGTAAGTAATGCTCGTAAAGCATACCTAAAGAGCATGAAGCCTGGTGATTACGGTGAAAAGGCTGACCCTTATGAGGACCGATTGAAAGTTCCAGGAGAGGAGAAATCTAAGGTAAAAATGCTGTGTAAATTAATTAGCTCCTAAACAACATGATATCTAAAGATAATCAATTCTAGCCATACATTGTATTCTTATAATTATGGTATATACTTATTGTATGCTTTTTGTTATTTATACATAGTACAGTACAATGTGTAAGGGTTCTGAAAGTGTTATTTAATAGTGAGATAATGAGGGAGGGGCAAAAACAAATCTGAATGTATTTATCAAATAAGAGGTGAAATATACACTTAGGCTAAGTCTAAAAATTTTGCTACCTTAGGTGAAAATACTTATTGCCTCAGGTTATTGCCTAAAAAGTATTTTCATGTAAAGATGTTGTGCATGGTCTGCTTCTACATTGTTACAAGGTAGTGTGACATATTTGGTTCCTGTGACCTTTCAATATATACTTGACCTCAGATGCCCTTAATAATTATGGGATAAGACCACCAAATAACTTTTTGTAGAATCTTTTTCAAGAAAGAGTGGATCTTGATGATATGGCTTCAGGAGGCAAAACGGAAGCTAATGGACATTATGATGAAAGTTTTGTAATAAATTATCTAACACAGGCTTACCAAGGACACTCTGATGACACAGTGGCCTTGATCATCAGGTTGATTACAATAATCTATCAATGCGTTTTTGGTGTTACTAGGACCCCATTATGAATCCTGCCCTAGTCACTGACCGCCCCACACACAGACAGGATGCTATTCTTCAACAGCTCTCCTCACTCAAGATGGTAAGTTGAGATTTCTCAAAGTCATTTTATTTCTTAAAAGGCTATGAGCTCATATAAAGACGTTATCAAGAATTGAAATTTCTCTGACAAATTTGAGTTTCAGAGTTGTTTGATCAAGGTTAAGGTCACCATTACCCCTTTTGTTTTCTTTTTTTTCACTTTGAAAATTGTCAGCAGTCTAGTTGCTTCACTCCTAGAGGTTGAGGGTTTCTCATCAAACTTTACACACTTTTAAAGCACTTAACTGTTATCAGTGCTCTGGAGAATTCATTCCTCACAGGATTTAGATCAAAACTCACACATTTACAAATGATCACAATGCTGTACATTATTGATTACAAAATAGTTATGAAACTGTATTGGCAGATTCTCATATTTATAGCATTGTTCCATTAAAATCAATTATAAACTAATTCTATCCTTTTCTTTTTTACCAAATCAACACCAAACAGCACCATCTTTATAAATTATTACAGTGTAGTAGCTTGTGGTGACTGGTAGGGGTCATGTTTTGATTTAGCGATTTCCAGTGTCCTTGTTAATGCTGATAACATGATACTGATGGTATTTAAATGGTTTGTTTATCATCTGTTAAAAGAACAGATTAAACAAGCTTGGTTAACTTTTACCTGCAGTAGGACACATACATGTAATACGTTTTTCTGGTTTTATTGCTTCCTGGTCAAATTTAACTTGATTCAGTTACTCCTGTTTTTTCTGTGTTTTCTTCTTCTTCTGTTCTCTACCTTGTAGATATTGATGATTGAAGTGATGTTGGAGGGTTAGTGGTCATGGATGATTGAAGTGATGTTGGAGGGTTAGTGGTCATGGATGATTGAAGTGATGTTGGAGGGTTAGTGGTCATGGATGATTGAAGTGATGTTGGAGGGTTAGTGGTCATGGATGATTGAAGTGATGTTGGAGGGATTGATTTTTAGTGGTCATGGATGATTGAGGTGATGTTGGAGGGTTAGTGGTCATGGATGATTGAAGTGATGTTGGAGGGTTAGTGGTCATGGATGATTGAAGTGATGTTGGAGGGTTAGTGGTCATGGATGATTGAAGTGATGTTGGAGGGATTGATTTTTAGTGGTCATGGATGATTGAGGTGATGTTGGAGGGTTAGTGGTCATGGATGATTGAAGTGATGTTGGAGGGTTAGTGGTCATGGATGATTGAAGTGATGTTGGAGGGTTAGTGGTCATGGATGATTGAAGTGATGTTGGAGGGATTGATTTTTAGTGGTTATGGAACCAGTTTATCATTACAAAGAGAGTGTAAATCCATTGTGTGCTTTTTTTTTTATTCCAGTCAGCTTACTGCTTTGAGTTGCTACAGTGCCTGTTTTTTTCATGAACATTCAAGCATCAACAGCCACTATACACCAGTTATTCTTATAAAACAAGTATTATTACCAGGACGTGATAGACATTGTAAAGGTTTATATAGCTAGCGAAGTCTTATAAAACAAGTATTGTTACCAGGACGTGATAGACATTGTAAAGGTTTATATAGCTAGCGAAGTCTTATAAAACAAGTATTATTACCAGGACGTGATAGACATTGTAAAGGTTTATATAGCTAGCGAAGTCTTATAAAACAAGTATTGTTACCAGGACGTGATAGACATTGTAAAGGTGTATATAGCTAGCGAAGTCTTATAAAACAAGTATTATTACCAGGACGTGATAGACATTGTAAAGGTGTATATAGCTAGCGAAGTCTTATAAAACAAGTATTATTACCAGGACGTGATAGACATTGTAAAGGTTTATATAGCTAGCCACTACATTCAAGTTTCAATAGAGTCTACAAAAGCTAAAGCTGTATTAGATTGGAGTTCATGCTGTTTAGGTTAAGTGTGTTGCGTTTTGTTGTCTTCCGTCTACATGAATGATCACATGTCTACAACAGAATCATTTCAACATCAGTACCCTGTATATGTCCTCTCTATGTATAATCCCCAGAGATTAACACTGTATACTTGATCAGATATTCTCATTTTCTACTTTAATGTCTTGGGTAATATTGATCAGCTGATGATGTGGAGCTGTAGACAGTAACAGTTGGATTAGCTACTGCCCTTGTCAATATAAGGAAGCACATTCAGTTATCAGATACCATATCATGTATACATTCTCTTTAATGGCACTTAATTGTACAGGATGTTTTCAATAGTAACTGATCTTGAGCTTGAAAATGTCAGTAATGAAAGGACAGAAATTTAAAATAACATATATAGATGTATTGTTTTTGCTAGTCAGTAGGTCAAAGGATAGCCTCATTTAGGAAGGATAATATTAGCCTCAACAAAACTATCTGATCTGACTTGTCCATCATATCAGTATACAATAACATACAAATATTAATCACTTCACTCCAGACAAGTGTTTGGTGCAATGAAAACTGATAAATATGACTTTCTTTCCTATGTGGATTTTCTATGAATAACTACCATATAATGCATTCCCTATTGACAGGAAAAAGATCCTGAATTTAGTGCAGTATTTCTCACTCGTTTTAAATGTAAATGTGGTGGGGTGGCGCAGTGATAACGTACTCGCCTTTCACCTAGCCGATCGGGGTTTGATTCCCGGAACGGACGTGAAAAGGTAAGGGGTCACCTGCCCGACCACGTGGGTTTTCCACGGGTACTCTGGTTTTCTCCCACAATAAGACTCCTCGCACGCTTACATCTGGGCCAACAAGAGTGATCAGTATAAGTTGACATAACTTGTTTCACAATTGTTGTAAAATAAATAAAGTTATATTTAAATGTAGGTTGAAGTGATGTAGAGATATTTTTGTAACAAAGTTCTTTGTGATTTCAGAATCTGATGCAGAAACGGAGGGAGCTAGAGACATTTTCTCCAACAGACTTTGAATAGTGGATGTTTTACTCGGGTCAGACAAGTGTTCTGTGATATTATCAGTGGTAACTGATCTCTCTAAAATAAAATGGGATCCTGTTGTTAGTTCCTAAGTTACACTTCTATATATATTGAAATAAAAACAAAAATTGTTTGAGTTTTCTGACAAAGCATTAAGATATCCATATAGTTTGTAAATATTTTGGATATTTTCTAACAAAGTTCACAAATATGACATTGTCAGCTAGTGAAAGAAATGTGATATAGGAATTACGTGTATTTAGTTAAGGACATTTCAACTGAACTACAGACAACACTATCCCACAGACATTTCTCCAGAAGTTCACGAAGTCAGCTTCTAAAAACATTGTTGTACAAGACAACTAAACACATATCGGTTGTTATGTAAGTGTAGTATGGTATATATTGCTACAGATAATACTGATTTATTGAAGTTTTGTATTTATTTTCATTGATTTTATAAGTTTAATATGTCAATGAATCAATAAACTGTACAAAATTTTTACACAATAATTGAAGCATGAGCTGATTTCTCTTGTACTATTTATTCATGAAATGAAATTCATGTAGTAATATTTTGAACGACCACAAAATTTTTAACCCATGAAAATATACAGATTTGCAGTATGTTGATATGGACATTTTCATTTATGTCTGGATGTATAGTTTAATTCATATAAAGAATAGTTCCATTGTTGATGGCAGGTTTTAACATGGAATGTCCATCTCTGCATCGTTAGAATTACTGACATGAAATAGTGAATTACAGTGTGTTGATAGCAGACAATGGATTTCTAGAAATGTGCTAGCCCAAGGCATGGAAATATTGGCAAGGAATACACCCCTAAACAATTTAATATATTTATTTCAGGAATTCATGGAACAAATTTCTCTTAATGTAAATTTTATCTATCATTGGAAGTTGAATTTTTTTATTTAGGTTTTTATGAAAAAAGGAAGCAATGGATTGAAAAAGTTATATAATACCCTAGTTAATTACCTAACAATTCTCTAAGAAATTCATCCCATCCTCATAATGTTTTTTTTTTTTTCTTCTACTAAAGCAAAATAATGGGTAAGTGTTCTAAATAGAAAATGGCTGCCTGTCTTCCAAACCTCACTACTAAACATAATCTGTTCTGTATAACAATAAAATGGCTGTTGGTGCTCAGTACTTTTACAGGTTTAGATACACCCAAATTAATTGTGTATGTTGAAACACTGTTTATAATCAGCATGATGCTGATGTGGCCGAATTTTGTGTTTGTTGAAACATGTCAACATTGACAGACAGGTTACAATTTTTTCTCCACATAGAAGGAATTTTGTCAGACAAATCCTGTGTATTTTGTTTGCAGTAGCATGTGATTGTGATTGGTTGTCTATAATATTGCTATAATAATATATATTATAGTTAATCATTATTTATTTATTGTACGTTTGTTTTTTAAGAATCAGATCTGTTATGATGTTAACAGTTTAAATATTTTACCTGTTATTATGTAAAAGTAATCCCATCAGTTGTCTCGCCTTTTTTACATCGACATGGACTTGCATTATCCTGGTGCTATATGATAATCTCTGTACCGTGATGTTTGGTAGTAAGACATCTTTACCTGATGTTTTGATGACCCAACACTGACTATACTTTTATATTTCTCTAAATCTTTCATTAAATCACACGATACTTACATAGTTGTAACTCCAGAGTCATTAATTTACTGATAATTGATAAAAACCAGTGGCTTTAAGCACTGTTTGATACTATACTTCTACGATGAATGAAGATTACAAAAATCAGTGTCCTAAACCATTCCCAGTAACAAGGTTTAGATAATATAATAATACCAGATCTGTGGAAATTCATGAGATAATCTTTGTTGGTATTTTGTCAAAGAATTTGTGCCTGTTATGTTGTGTTTTGTTTGAAGCCATTATTATAGAATTTGGTCAGTGTTTTGACAAGAGAGTTATGTCTGTTAGAGATAAAAATTCTGTTATGCTCGGGAGGTTGTATCTGTTTTATACACATGATACTCTTTTATGTTAGTGTCTGTTTTATGTTGAATAAAAGCACATTTTGTTCATATTCCATTACGCATTAAATATATATTTCTTCAGAAGTGCCAGACATTTGATGGGCTGTGTGAACATATCAACACATCTTATTGAAGGGTGATTTTTAAAACATTTGTTAATGTAGTTAGACTGACTATCAGTGGCAGATACATTGGTTTATCTTTTCTATTGATGAATTATAGGTGATTGATTTTTGTAATGAATCTAAAAGCAAGTACTCTGTAATGTCAGCAGTGAGAAACATCCAGCTTTTGTTCCAAGAGATCGATTCAGACCACATTGACATAAGGGTATGAAAGATACCCAAATCATCAAGAGAACCTGACATTGTGATGAGCATATCTGAAAATATCATAGCTTGTGCAGGTATTACAGTTTACAGTATATTTATTTTTTACCATTGAACTGAATTATCAGAAATCAGCAGATTATTGAAAAATCATCTCTTCATATACCATTGAATTATCAGAAATTAGCAGATTACTGAAAAATTATCTCTTTATTCAAGGAAGATTTTGGGGAAGTATTGTATTACTGTCTTGCAATTGTTCTTAAATCATAAGTTTCTGCTATACTTGTGAAACACAGTTGGTATTTAATAGGAAACCAGTATAAAATTTAATTGTATGGATATATCAATCAGATTGAGTATCATTACATAAACCTGTTCATCTTAATACATAGACAGTACAAACTTACAATATAACATACAGGTTTTATATCTATACTTTGTTCCTACTGGCTTAACAGTCTTGTACAATCTTTTAGATGATGACATCATCCTAACGTTAAAGATGTCATTACCCTTAAGATGGAAGTCAAGTAGAAACATCAATTTGTTTCCAGTGTCAACATAGAAATCAGGGATCTCTCAGACTTGTTCAAGTTATAAACTGAAATATTTCATACAAGGTGGCTCATTTTTCAGTATGTTCAATATATAATTTATTCGTAGAAGTCTAGAAATAATTCTCAGGATTTGAATGACTTAATTACAGGTATTTTTTACACATACATTATACTTGTGATATCAAACGGTTCCCTGTTGATTTAAGTGACTTTACATGTTTTAGTGAGGATTGTATAGATTTGTAAACCACTAAAATATGTACAGAGGGACCAAATTGTACTATAAATTATATCAAATTGTCCATTACAACATTAATTTAATTTGGCTAGAATTACAGAGCATGCTCATCCAATTCTTTATTTCTCATATTCCACATCAGTAAATGGGGATGGGTAATTGATATAACATGGTCTCTTGTCAACTTCATCAAGATCTCCCATTCCACAGGAAAGGAAGCAAAATGAAAGATTAAAATTAGAATGAACTCCTGTCTAATTAACAACTAGGTAGTCTATTTATTTAAAATATGTAATGTCAGGTCACATAAAAGAAAACTTTGTACCAAAGAAATAGAAAATAAAACCTATACAATTTTATTTTGTTGTCATGTTTTGAATGATGGTGTGTTATCTGAACAACAGTCAGAGGTTGTATCATCACAACAGTCAGTAGACTTAATTAATGGGGTTGTATAATCACAGCAGTCAGTAGACTTAATTAATGGGATTGTATAATCACAACAGTCTGTAGACTTAATTAATGGGGTTGTATGATCACAACAGTCAGTAGACTTAATTAATGGGGTTGTATAATCACAGCAGTCAGTAGACTTAATTAATGGGGGCTGTGTAAAATCACAACAGTCTGTAGACTTAATTAATGGGGTTGTGTAATCAGCAGTCAGTAGACATAATTAATGGGTTTGTATAATTACAACAGTCTGTAGACTTAATTAATGCAGTTGTATAATCACAGCAGTCAGTAGACTTAATTAAGGGGGTTGTATAAGGGGGTTGTATAATCACAACAGTCTGTAGACTTAATTAATGGGGTTGTATAATCACAGCAGTCAGTAGACTTAATCAATGGGGGCTGTGTGAAATCACAACAGTCAGTAGACTTAATTAATGGGGTTGTTTAATCACAACAGTCAGTAGGCTTAATTAATGGGGTTGTATAATCACAGCAGTCTGTAGACTTAATTAATGGGGTTGTATAATCACAGCAGTCAGTAGACTTAATTAATGGGGGCTGTGTGAAATCACAACAGTCAGTAGACATAATTAATGGGGTTGTTTAATCGCAACAGTCAGTAGGCTTAATTAATGGGGTTGTATAATCACAGCAGTCTGTAGACTTAATTAATAGGGTTGTATAATCACAGCAGTCAGTAGACTTAATTAATGGGGGCTGTGTGAAATCACAACAGTCAGTAGACTTAATTAATGGGGTTGTATAATCACAACAGTCTGTAGGCTTAATTAATGGGGTTGTATAATCACAGCAGTCTGTAAACTTAATTAATAGGATTGTATAATCACAACAGTTTGTAGACTTAATTAATGGGGTTGTATAATCACAACAGTCAGTAGATTTGATTAATGGGGTTGTATAATCACAACAGTCAGTAGACTTAATTAATGGGGTTGTATAATCACAGCAGTCAGTAGATTTGATTAATGGGGTTGTATAATCACAGCAGTCTGTAGACTTATTTAATGGGGTTGTATAATCACAGCAGTCTGTAAACTTAATTAATAGGGTTGTATAATCACAACAGTTTGTAGACTTAATTAATGGGGTTGTATAATCACAACAGTCAGTAGATTTGATTAATGGGGTTGTATAATCACAAAAGTCAGTAGACTTAATTAATGGGGTTGTATAATCACAACAGTCAGTAGACTTAATAGAGTTGTATAATCACAACAGTCTGTAGACTTTAATTAATGGTGTTGTATCGTCACAGCAGTCTGTAGACTTAATAGAGTTGTATAATCACTACAGTCTGTAGACTTTAATTAATGGTGTTGTATCATCACAGCAGTCTGTAGACTTAGTTAATGGGGTTGTATAATCACAGCAGTCTGTAGACTTAATAGAGTTGTATAATCACAACAGTCTGTAGACTTTAATTAATGGTGTTGTATCGTCACAACAGTCAGTAGACTTAATTAATGTGGTTGTATCTTCACAACAGTCAGTAGACTTAATTAATAGGGTTGTATAATTGAGGCTTCATAGCACCCTAACCGTAAATAGACCTCATTAAGAGAGTTAGTTAATATGCCTAATTAATGATCAATTAAGGACATTGCCAAATCTTGATTTATTTCAGATAAAATCATTATTTTCTAGTTGATTTTCATAACAAATATAAACAGCGATTGATAAACTTGTTAATTTATGATATGAGCCGAGCTGGTAAGTGTACTGAGAGACCTTGTGATATATTCCGTCACAGAAACATGTGCTCTGTAATCAATGTTGGCACCTCCATGTGTAATGGGAGGGGAAACAAGCCTATTGTTTGGCGTCACGCCACAAACCCAAAATAATATCTCGCTCACAATTGAGGTTACTAGCTTGTCTGATTTTATACCGGAGAATATACACGACGCTGTTTATACTATCTGGTTGTTAATGTCGATTTTCACTTATTTTATCAGAAATACAATTTTTACATATAGACTTACCATTGTGAGTCGTTTGAGTTCCTCGGTATCAGTTGTAATAGTATGTTTAACAACATGCCAACTTCTAAACAGACAATATGACAAAAACTGATAATGTGCACTGTACGCGTCCTGTCTCTTGGTACATTTTTAATTGTTAACAATAAGCTGCGTATTGAAATGATGTTTTGTGTTCAGTGCGTCATGTTTTTACTTGTAAACTTGTTAAATCCTAAATCTTCTCAGAGAGTATATCACTCCTAGATTAACGTAAATAGTCTCTCAGGAATTAACACCGAATTGATTGAATATCTCTCACGAATTAACGTTACACTGTATATCTCTCACGAATTATCGTGATAATGTATCTCTCAAGAACTATCGTGATATTGTATATCTCTCACGAATTATCGTGATATTGTATATCTGTCACGAATTATCGTGATATTGTATATCTCTCACGAATTATCGTGATATCTCTCACGAATTATCGTGATATTGTATATCTCTCACGAATTATCGTGATGTTGTACATCTCACGAATTATCGTGATATTGTATATCTCTCACGAATTATCGTGATATTGTATATCTCTCACGAATTATCGTGATGTTGTATATCTCTCACGAATTATCGTGATATTGTATATCTCGCAAATTATCGTGATATTGTATATCTGTCACGAATTATCGTGATATTGTATATCTCTCACCAATTATCGTGATATTGTATAACGAATTATCGTGATATTTTATCTCTCAAGAATTATCGTGATATTGTATATCTCTCACGAATTATCGTGATATTGTATATATCTCACGAATTATCGTGATGTTGTATATCTCTTATGAAATTATCGTGATATTAAAACATGTATATCTCTCACGAATTATCGTGATAGTTAACACAACATAAATATCACTCACACATGAATATCAACACAATAATATGTAAATCTCTCACAAATTATCGTGATATTGTATATATCTTACAAAACAATATCTCATGATATATTTATCATCTCGCGCATTAACACAAAGATATGTAACGTAGACTTTCCGACCAATAATTAGTAAGACTTACGATACACTATAACGTTACTATTCCTTGCTGATACTTCATTAAATATATTGTCTATAGTTCCATGATAACGTGTTTACGTTCGGTTAAACACGGTTTATTTTTGTTACGTCAGACTTGGGTGGGGAACTATGTCAGAGGGTCATTTCAGCATGACGAGGAAACAATTAGAATTTGTACTACTCGCATACATAGAAATGCTGAATGTAACACACACTTGTATATATTTCAGTGTGTGAGTGGGCTAACGCCGAATCTGATATCTGAGAGGTCACAAGAGGACGGTTGTATTACACTGGGCATTGTGCTTTTGACAGTTTCATACCAAACTTAGGTCGTCAATTCTTTCATTTAGCTGGATTCTAGTTGTGAAGAGGGCGCATGGTTTAATTCAAGATCTTACAGTTTCTTTCGGGAAGTGTAGACTGAGTAATCAGTTGATTTCACTTTTATTTTCTATTGACAAACACTGATTAATACCTATCCTGTGTAAACAAACAACATTGTTCAGGTTTTTAGTGAATGTTTTATGTGACTCAGTTATTGATATTCTTCATACTGGTCAAAGTTAGTACACATTCCCCACAAACGACATCTCCCCATCTCACAAAACAACCTCTCCCCATCTCACAAAACAACCTCTCCCCATCTCACAAAACAACCTCTCCCCATCTCACAAAACAACCTCTCCCCATCTCCTCACATACCAACCTCTCCCCATCTCACAAAACAACCTCTCCCCATCTCCCCACAAACCAACCTCTCCCCATCTCACAAACCAACATCTCTCCGTCTCCCCACAAACCAATCTCTCCCAATCCCATTACAAACCAACCTCTCCCCATCTCCTCACATACCAACCTCACCCCATCTCCTCAGAAACCAACCTCTCCCCATCTCCTCACATACCAACCTCTCCCCATCTCCTCACAAACCAACCCCTCCCCATCTCCTCACAAACCAACCTCTCCCCATCTCCTCACAAACCAACCTCTCCCCATCTCCTCACAAACCAACCTCTCCCCATCTCCTCACAAACTAACATCTCCCCATCTCCTCACAAACCAACATCTCCCCATCTCCTCACAAACCAACCTCTCCCCATCTCCCCACAAACCAACCTCTCCCCATCTCCTCACAAACCAACATCTCCCCATCTCCTCACATACCAACCTCTCCCCATCTCATAAACCAACCTTTCCCCATCTCCTCACAAACCAACCTCTCCCCATCTCCTCAAACCAACCTCTCCCCATCTCACAACCAACCTCTCTCCTCACATACCAACCTCTCCCCATCTCCTCACAAACCAACCTCTCCCCATCTCCTCGCATACCAACCTCTCCCCATCTCACAAAACAACCTCTCCCCATCTCCCCACCAACCAACCTTACCCCATCTCCTCACAAACCAACCTCTCCCCATCTCACAAACCAACCTCTCCCCATCTCCTCACAAACCAACCTCTCCCCATCTCCTCACAAACCAACCTCTCCCCATCTCCTCACAAACCAACCTCTCCCCATCTCCTCACATACCAACCTCTCCCCATCTCCTCACAAACCAACCTCTCCCCATCTCCTCACAAACCAACATCTCCCCATCTCACAAACCAACATCTCCCCATCTCCTCACAAACCAACCTCTCCCCATCTCATAAACCAACCTTTCCCCATCTCCTCACAAACCAACCTCTCCCCATCTCCCCACCAACCAACCTTTCCCCATCTCCTCACATACCAACCTCTCCCCATCTCATAAACCAACCTCTCCCCATATCCCCACCAACCAACCACTCCCCATCTCCTCACAAACCAACCTCTCCCCATCTCCTCACAAACCAACCTCTCCCCATCTCCTCACAAACCAACCTCTCCCCATCTCACCAACCAACCTCTCCCCATCTCCTCAAAAACCAACCTCTCCCCATCTCCTCACAAACCAACCACTCCCCATCTCCTCACAAACCAACCTCTCCCCATCTCCTCACAAACAAACCTCTCCCCATCTCCTCACAAACCAACCTCTCCCCATCTCCTCACAAACCAACCTCTCCCCATCTCCTCACAAACCAACCTCTCCCCATCTCCTCACAAACCAACCTCGCCCCATCTCCTCACAAACCAACCTCTCCCCATCTCCTCACAAACCAACCTCTCCCCATCTCCTCACAAACCAACCTCTCCCCATCTCCTCACAAACCAATCTCCTCACAACCAACCTCTCCCACAAACCAACCTCTCCCATCATCTCCTCACAAACCAACCTCTCCCCACAAACCAACCTCTCCCCATCACCTCCCAAACCAACCTCTCCCCATCTCAACCTCCCCACAAACCAACCTCTCCCCATCTCCTCACATACCAACCTCTTCCTATCTCCTCACAAACCAACATCTCCCCATCTCCTGAGAAACCAACATCTCCCCATCTTGTCAACCAACCTTATCCCATCTCCTCACAAACCAACCTCTCCCCATCTCCTCACAAACCAACCTCTCCCCATCTCCACACAAACCAACCTCTCCCCATCTCCTCACAAACCAACCTCTCCCCATCTCCTCACAAACAAACCAACCTCTCCCCATCTCCTCACAAACCAACCTCTCCCCATCTCCTCACAAACCAACCTCTCCCCATCTCCTCACAAACCAACCTCTCCCCATCTCCTCACATACCAACCCCTCCCCATCTCCTCGCATACCAACCCCTCCCCATCTCCCCACAAACCAACCTCTCCCCATCTCCTCGCATACCAACCTCTCCCCATCTCACAAACCAACATCTCCCCATCTCCTCACAAACCAACCTCTCCCCATCTCCTCACATACCAACCTCTCCCCATCTCCTCACATACCAACCTCTCCCCATCTCCTCACATACCAACCTCTCCCCATCTCCTCACAAACCAACATCTCCCCATCTCCTCACAAACCAACCTCTCCCCATCTCCTCACATACCAACCCCTCCCCATCTCCTCACAAACCAACCTCTCCCCATCTCCTCACATACCAACCTCTCCCCATCTCCTCACAAACCAACCTCTCCCCATCTCCTCACAAACCAACCTCTCCCCATCTCCTCACAAACCAACCTCTCCCCAACTCATCCCCAGACACCAACCTCTCCCCATCTCCTCACAAACCAACCTCTCTTCCATCTCCTCATAACCAACCTCTCCCCATCTTCACGGTCACTTGTATCAACCTCTCTTATTCAGACTAATCTCTCCCCCAAATTCACGGTCACTTGTACTCTCATACACTACATAATTGTGCATGTTTCTTGTCTGATAATCTATCATTTTAGGGAGAGGGACTGTCTGTTATCAGAACTTATATGTCACCCAATGCCTGGTGTTGTGTTAATAAATAGAAACACGTGTTTCTTTCAAGTTTCGTGGAAGTGTAGGGATGGAATGTTGGAACGATAGTGGGTGATGATGGACGTTTTCTTTCGGCCACAGTGACATGATACAAACATCACCGTAATTAATGTTATCATGTTAATGCGTCGTTACGTCATCTCACTGCAACATTACAGTCCGCTACTGTGTACTACCGCATATAGTATATTTACCGTGTTATACCACACTTTGTATATTTACCGTGTTACACCACACTATGTATATTTGCGATGTTATACCACACTAGGTATATTTACCACGTGATACCGCACTATGTATATTTACCACGTGATACCACACTGTGTATATTTACCGTGTTATACCACACTATGTATATTTGCGATGTTATACCACACTATGTATATTTACCATGTTATACCACACTATGTATATTTACCACGTGATACCACAATATGTATATTTACCACGTGATACCACACTATGTATATTTACCATGTGATACCACAATATGTATATTTACCACGTGATACCACACTATGTATATTTACCGTGTTATACCGCACTATGTATATTTACCACGTGATACCACACTATGTATATTTACCATGTTGTACCACACTATGTATATGTACAATGTGATACCACACTATGTATATTTACCGTGTTATACCACACTGTGTATATTTACCATGTGATACCACACTATGTATATTTACCACGTTATACCACACTATGTATATTTACCATGTGATACCACACTATGTATATTTACCATGTTATACCACACTATGTATATTTACCACCTGATACCACACTGTGGATATTTACCATGTGATACCACACTATCTATATTTACCATGTGATACCACACTATGTATATTTACCACGTGATACCACACTATGTATATTTACCACGTGATACCGCACTATGTATATTTACCGTGTTATACCACACTATGTATATTTACCATGTTATACCACACTATGTATATGTACAATGTGATACCACACTATGTATATTTACCATGTTATCCCACACTATGTATATTTACAATGTGATACCACACTATGTATATTTACCATGTTATCCCACACTATGTATATTTACCATGTTATACCACACTATGTATATTTACAATGTTATACCACACTATGTATATGTACAATGTGATACCACACTATGTATATTTACCATGTTATACCACACTATGTATATTTACCATGTGATACCACACTATGTATATTTACCACGTGATACCACACTATGTATATTTACCACGTGATACCACACTATGTATATTTACCACGTTATACCACACTATGTATATTTACCACGTGATACCACACTATGTATATTTACCACGTCATACCACACTATGTACATTTACCATGTTATAACACACTATGTATATTTACCACGTTATACCACACTATATTTAAACAAGTTATAAATTGATGAAAATGAGAAGAAAATATTCACAAGTTAACAGGTCTTACTTCAAACTCAAACCCGATACATGTGAAGTGGAGAAATATATGAACAGAGGAAAAATTTACACAGAGACCATTGAAAATATTGGGGACAACAACACAAAGGAAGGAATTAGTAATGTCATGTTCTCTAAATTTGAGAGGGGATAATTACAAACCCCCACACATACAAACATCGAATGATAAAAAGATGTTTCTAATGAGAAACTTTACCATTTTCTTGATATTCTGTGGACACACGTGTGAAGAATAAAGTTCTCGTTGAATGGTGATGTAATGATTGTCGACGCTAACTTAGATGCGGTGACTGTGACGACGGTTTGCTCAAAAATACCAAAAAGTGACAGGGCAGTTTACTGGTGGATTCATAGTTCATATTTTGTTTGTTTGTTTGTCTGTTTTTTCAGTGTATTTTTTCCCTAAACTTTGTAAATAATTTCAACAAATGATTTACAACTAACCATTTGGTTTGAGTAAACCCTCTGATATGGTCCGATCTCTCACAGACGAAGTAAGTTCGATTTTGACGATGTTGTTGATGTTAGTCTCTCGAATTGCAGCTTTTCTACGAGATCCCTCGGGACGTAGGAGCTGATAATGTTATTTAGGTTTATACCCCATTTGTGGTCAGTTTACCTACTATGTACCAAACCCTAATTGATATGGATGGACTGATGTCGTACTGTGTGATTACATAAAACAGGTTGTGATCTCCAGGGTCATTAACACACGCAGGCCAAATATGACTTTGTAGTTATGCGATTAGTAGCACCGCTCCGCGGGAATCGATTTTCGACAAACCGCGAATGGTAGTAATACTGTAGATCATTGTTCAGTATCGCCTGCTGCAAAGAAATATTAGATATATTTCATACATAATCCATAATTTTCAAGATCAAATCGAATCGATAAGGAAAGTTTGAAAATGTCAAAAATGTACCAGTGGAACATAATATCATGACGGAAATCCGCATCGCATGTTAAAAATCAACAAATTGAAACGGACAACGATATAAGCAATATCGGTTCTAGACCAATTAATGTCGAGTAAAGACGAGTTACCGACAAGATACATTCATACGACAGAGAAATGTGTGTAGCCTGATATATATAAGTGAACCGGGTGACCGATCTTTGACAACAGATAGCCTGCTCTGACTAAACTCCACCCCCGGTAGCTACAGCTGTAAGCACGGGTGTGGACAAAGATCGCGGAGGCGTTCTGTTTACTACAAATTACCGGCTCCGTTAATGAGGATCAGTTTATGAAATAGCCACAGGTCAATCGACATCTCTGGAGCCGTCAGCGGAATCGTTAACAGTGTTTGTGGTGAACAGATTTCCTGCTGTGGCTAGCAGCTGTATACCGTCCACGTTATCTATTTAACCAACAATGCAGTTTACAAACATTCATATCATAACTGTGATTTTAATTGTTATTATTATGGAGTTAATACTCGTGGAAGGTAAGTGATTTTTTTTACACAATTATATGTCTAGACATGAAAGAGTGTAGAGTTCGAGGTAGTCTTAATTTGCTCTGGTCCCAACACCGGACGTTGGTCAATTTGACGGACCGATGAAACTTTAGAGTTGGGGTTGTGGAGTGGAGGCGGGCCTTGTGTTTACTACCCAGGGAGGTTGATACGTTTGTAAATATAAATATGTAGAGGAACCCATACGCAGGAGGTTCAGATCAGGAGAGAGTGGTTCAGAGTTGGGGAGGGGGTTCAAAATGTGGAAAAGTGTCAGGAGGGGGAGTTCAGGTTGGTTTATGATAAGGGGAGGGGTGCTCAGTGTTAGGATAAGGAGAGGAGTGCTCAGAGTTAGGATAAAGGAAGGGGTGCTCAGAGTAAGGATAAGGGGAGGGGTACCCAGAGTTAGGATAAGGGGAGGGGTACTCATAGTTTGGATAAGGGGAGGGGTACTCAGAGTTAGCATAAAGGGAGGGGTACCCAGAGTTAGGATAAGGGGAGGGGTACTCAGAGTTGGGGCAAGGGTTAAAGGAAGGGTTCATAAGTGTTGTTCGATTTGAAATATTAGGGTTATGTAAGATAAAGATGGGAGGTAAAGAAAACGACAGTTGTTGCGTAATGATAGTGTAAAGGGGAGTGTGTGGTCTATTATAATGAAGGAGATGAGTGTTGAAGAAATGAAGGTATAGAGTAGTGGAAGGATAAGAGAACACGATCACTTATCATTGAATTAGTGGAAAAGTGAAGATATAACCCTCCCCCACAACTCTTATTATTCCACCACCACCACCACCACCACCACCACCACCATCATCATCATCATCATCATCATCATCATCATCATCATCATCATCATCATCATCATCACCACCACCACCACCACCACCACCACCACATCATCATCATCATCATCATCATCATCACCACCACCACCACCACCACCACCACCACCATCATCATCATCATCTTCACCACCACCACCACCACCACCATCATCACCACCACCATCATCATTGTCATCATCATCATCATCATCAATCATCATCACCACCATCATCATCCCCTTCTTCACCATCATCACTACCACCACCACCACCACCAACACCACCACCATCACCACCGCCAACATCATCATCATATTCACCACCAACACCACCACCATCACCACCGCCAACATCATCATCATATTCACCACCACCACCACCACCACCATATTCATCATCACCCCCACCACCACCACCATCACCACCGCCAACATCATCATATTCATCATCACCCCCACCACCACCACCACCATCATCACCATCATCATTGTCATCATCACAATCATCATCTTCGTCATCATCATCCCGGTACCTGGTCCGATCTCAGTATAACCATATAGAAACGACAGAGCTATCTGCTAATATAGTATTCCTATGAAAGTGATACCATCATTTAATGTACACGGAACACTTTGACGTCATGGATAGATCTACCACAACAATAAAAGTCTGTTTTATAAATTTCGTGATGGCGGTAGACAAGGAGTAGTTGATGTTCAGGTACCGCGACGACAAAAGATTGTTAATGTGTGTAACTGACTAGGTGTACTTAACAGGATATGGGTAACGAAGGTGACTTATTTATATATACTTTATATATAGAGAGAGACCAGATAAACTTGCAATGGCACGGATTTCCTAAACACTGTTACAGCAAATTATTTTTTGAAATGTAAAGGTACCGTTTAGTTTCATTTTCATTTGCCTCAAATAGTAATGATTCTTGACAACTGATACTGATACAAAATGACTTTTTTCATGCTTAAAGTTATCTGAAAGTGATGTTCGCCTTGATGTTCTGAAGATATTTACAAGATTTTTTTACTACCCTTTAAGCATAAACTGCCATGCGACGCGAGTAAGACTCTCTCATTTCACGTGTAGAGCGCTATTTCCCTGCACGTGATTGCATTTTTCAGTGTCCTATCTGACCACTCGTCATGGTGTTTTGGAAGTTAGTCTACTTACTACAAAAATTAAGTTTCTTAATGGATAAATGTGGTATAAAAGCCACAGGGATTTTACACGAGAATTTGTGCCAAACCCTTGTGATGTACGCCGCTAACAAAGTAGAAGAAAAATGACCATACCTAACTGTTAAGTTTTAGAGAACCCATAATACCACTTCCATTGGTTGGATTAAAATATCAGTTCGACAGCGGAGGAACAGCACCGTCTACCTCTTGACTTCCAAGATAGACAAGAAATGATATGTCCTGCTGGGGAGAAGATGTTTCGAGTTATTTGTTACCGTTTATTACGTCATAATCACAAACACTGTCTGCACGTCGTGTCTGGGCTGCTACAGACATCAACACAGAGTTGAGAATCATTGTCACATAATGCTTAACAAGTGTTCTCGTTCATAACGCTTATAGGACCAGCCACACTGGAATTACCACATCATTTAGGAGTCAGTAAATATTGGTCTCACATTTTGTCAAACGGCCAGTGACTGGTGTAACCTGTACGCTCTCTTTTGAATCACAAGTGGAGTGTTTACACCGCAGTAATCAATATCGATGGCCTGTATTTCACTTTGATGGCTGCAATAGCTAGGGCCCATAATCGATTTTGATTAGCAGAAATCTCTAGAAGAGCTATGATTCTTGTCATTTATTAGAATTCCTTGTAAAATATAGAAAAAAAAGTTTTCACCCTGGGGATTAACACCAAGAATGGCGCATGATGGACATTTGCCGAGTTAAACACATGTGCATTACATGAGATACATGTATGTATCACGCGACTGGGACGTTCAGTTGTGAGTCAGCGTAAAAATGATTTCCATGCACGGAAACAAACCAGATCAAATTCGATTGTTTGAGAATTCTGTCTGGTTCACGCCAAGTTATAATAATTGAATTCATATTTTGATTTTTGAATGTTTAAGATATTCCCATACAATATCGAACAGTCTACTATTTGCTATTTATGAATATGAAATGAATGTCTATTAAACAAACCCACTTCGTTCACATTCTTAACCAGCAGCTACTGCACACGGTTTACATGATAGACACGGATAGAAATGTCAGACATTCCATCCCATCGCATTAGGAGTGGATTTAAACTACATCTGACTAAGATGCCGTGTTGAGCGAAAGTTGGGTGTTGCATGCAATTACGTAATGTAAACCAATGTGAACGGTTGTGATGACAAAGGGACAGTTGATACAGGGTTTTGGTTTTGCGTTCGAATAAAAGTTAAAGATACGGGAATATGAATTTCAAGTTTTAAAAGTTAAGGATATTTGGCAATACGAATTTCTAATAACATTAAAACCATACCAAAAGGTGATTGTTGTTTGTCTACATAATTCTAAATTTGTACAAAATCATTATTCTTCTTAGTCTAATTCCCGTGTGTTTTGCTTTGAGTGACAACCAGCCACGTTGGCGGAGTATCGTCTAGGAGATAGCTATACAGACCGTTATAACGGACGGACATCCCTCGTGTATCAAACCAATCCACTTTTTATCGATATCACACCGCTTTCCTGACATTCTCAATAAGACAGCACATTCTAGTGAGTGTCCGTGGAGTGGTATAGCTAGACTGTCCCGCCATTGTAAAAGATCCACATGGTGGAGAATGATGCCAGTTTCATTTCCACGCAAAATAAGTGTGAAATAGACACATGGTTCCTGTATAAGCCATCAAAATTACTTTCCCCATGGCAATAAAGCTGTCTAAAGTATGTCCATGTCTAGCGGGAAGGCTGGAGAATATTTCAGGCTGGTATCGGATACTAGCACGGTTCAGACCATAAATATTTACTCGACGTTCTTTGAAAATTTATCGAATGATGGGGCAAGGGTTAAGGTACCTCCGCATCTAAATTCTGACATTTCCTTCATTAGTTTTGATTTTCCTCAGTAGCATCAAACATTTCAAGGCCCTTAGAATCACTAACGAGTCCTAGAATGACGAAATATTTACCCTATACAAGTAAATCCACACTTTTTACCGGTGTCCTTGTCTCACCTAGGGTTGAGACGGGGAAATTTTCCTGTCAGGACAATCAAATGACGTCACGGTAACCAATGACGTCACACATACGAGTACCAAGTAAAGCCAGCATGGTAAGAGAAATGTTATCATTCCAACTGCTCGTGTTTGCTTACATAACCATCTACCTCTCGGATTAAGGTCCACCTATCTCACCTCCAAAGGGGGGGGGGGGGGGGGGACGATTTCACAACACTGAACAGTTAACAGTTAAACAGTTAAATGGGGGGGGGGGGGGGGGGGGGGGGGCGATTTCACAACAGTTAACAGTTAAACAGTTAAATGGAAGTCGGTAATTATGATATTTTTTCACAAAAATAAGACGGAAGACGGTAAGTATAATTTCTAGCTACAGTAGTAAAACGAAAGGCATTTCTATCTACAGCAGTAAAGCGGAAGGCGATGAATATAGTCTCTGTCCACAACAGTAAAACGGAACATTTTGGTCGGATGCCATTGTTTGAAACTTTAGTTTTGTTTACATTCGCTTTTTATGAGAAAAAAAACACTTAAAACGACATTTTTTGACCGTATATAAAAATATTCAGAATGGCAATTTTACATCGTCCCTGACCAATCTCAGATGTTTAGTAGAACGTACATGGGAAAATGTGGAATGACAAAGGGCCTGGGGTGAAGGTATCGTGAGCAAAACAGGTGCACTCAATTACTGTCCTAACGGGTGCACGAGTTTGTTTATAAAAAATGTCGGCATTTCAAACCGCAAATGAATTTTTTTAAATGATTAATATAAGTCCTATGTACCTACCGACCTGCAGTGTAAGATCGTATTACAATAGATAAATTTGTGTTTTACTAAAGATCTTTGGAAAAAATGAGTAAGAACAATAGTAATCGTATATAAACGAAAAAAAAACCGTTTTAAGGAATTTCAGAAAGATATCTTAACTCCTTTTATAATTTTATAATATATTATATTAACATTAATATAATAATAATGTTATATCATTTTGCTGATAAAACCTGAAAAATAACATTTTAGATATAGCACTAAAATGACGTAATGATACACTATAAGTAAGATTATTGATCTAAAATCGAAAGATAAATGTTTATTTCACTGCCGTAATATCTGAGGTATAATGTGATTTAGTTTAACTATTCATGAAAAAAGGAAAAAATATTGTATCCTTATAAAAGCTATACACATACATCAGGCTATCATGGCCTGCTGAGGAAAGTTCGCCAAGAAATCATACATGTCAAAATAATGACCAGGTTTCATATTCGTACTTGTGTGTCGAGTTTCGTACCTAAAAGACTGGATTAAGTGAGACTCGTCTGAAAAACTAACCACAGAATATGATGAAAAACTAAGATAAAAACGTGAAAAAAAGACAAGACATCGGTGTCAAGTTTCAATCGCTGAATTGTTGATTTAGGTAGGAAAGGCTGTGGAAAGTCCTTCCTATCCAACTGTAATTTATTTAGTAATTTGTGGCTATCCTCTGATGTCCAGGATGTGTTTTCCTGTGGTTAAAATTATTTTAAACCTGCAGATTATGTAGACGTAATTTACATACTAACATATACCTGTTAACAGACAGGTCATGTCAGTACGTCCTCACCCATACCGGTACTGCTATGTAGACAAGTTTGACACGACGTATTGTTAGCTTATCGTAAGCTTCTATTTATCTGGAGATCTCTTTCAAAGGTTTCTATATCACGAAACAGATATTACTGTTTCCTTACGAAGCATTATTGGAAGAGTATTTGCCCCTTTTCACATTCCGGCTGTTTTGTTTTATGTCTGTAGGGAGATCCACTCTCACATTCCGGCTGTTTTGTTTGATGTCTGTAGGGAGATCCACTCTCACACTCCGGCTGTTTTATGTCTGTAGGGAGATCCACTCTCATATTCCGGCTGCTTTATGTCTGTAGGGAGATCCACTCTCACATTCCGGCTGTTTTGTTTGATGTCTGTAGGGTGATCCACTCTCACATTCCGGTTGTTTTGTTTGATGTCTGTAGGGTGATCCACTCTCACATTCCGGCTGTTTTATGTCTGTAGGGAGATCCACTCTCACATTCCAGCTGTTTTATGTCTGTAGGGAGATCCACTCTCACATTCCGGCTGTTTTGTTTTATGTCTGTAGGGAGATCCACTCTCACATTCCGGCTGTTTTGTTTTATGTCTGTAGGGAGATCAACTATCACATTCCGGCTGTCCACTCTCACATTCCGGCTGTTTTATGTCTGTAGGGAGATCCACTCTCACATTCCGGCTGTTTTATGTCTGTAGGGAGATCCACTCTCACATTCCGGCTGTTTTATGTCTGTAGGGAGATCCACTCTCACATTCCGGCTGTTTTATGTCTGAAGGGAGATCCACTCTCACATTCCGGCTGTTTTGTTTTATGTCTGTAGGGAGATCCACTCTCACATTCCGGCTGTTTTATGTCTGTAGGGAGATCCACTCTCACATTCCGGCTGTTTTGTTTTATGTCTGTAGGGAGATCCACTCTCACATTCCGGCTGTTTTGTTTTATGTCTGTAGGGAGATCCACTCTCACATTCCGGCTGTTTTGTTTTATGTCTGTAGGGAGATCCACTCTCACATTCCGGCTGTTTTGTTTGATGTCTGTAGGGAGATCCACTCTCACATTCCGGCTGTTTTGTTTTATGTCTGTAGGGAGATCCACTCTCACATTCCGGCTGTTTTGTTTTATGTCTGTAGGGAGATCCACTCTCACATTCCGGATCCACTCTTTTGTTTTTTTGTAGGGAGATCCACTTCACATGCTGTTTTGTTTTATGTCTGTAGTGAGATCCACTCTCACATTCCGGCTGTTTTGTTTTATGTCTGTAGGGAGATCCACTCTCACATTCCGACTGTTTTGTTTGATGTCTGTAGGGAGATCCACTCTCACATTACGGCTGTTTTGTTTTATGTCTGTAGGGAGATCCACTCTCACATTCCGGCTGTTTTGTGTTATGTCTGTAGGGAGATCCACTCTCACATTCCGGCTGTTTTGTTTTATGTCTGTAGGGAGATCCACTCTCACATTCCGGCTGTTTTGTTTTATGTCTGTAGGGAGATCCACTCTCACATTCCGGCTGTTTTATGTCTGTAGGGTGATCCACTCTCACATTCCGGCTGTTTTGTTTTATGTCTGTAGGGAGATCCACTCTCACATTCCGGCTGTTTTGTTTTATGTATGTAGGGAGATCCACTCTCACATTCCGGCTGTTTTGTTTTATGTCTGTAGGGAGATCCACTCTCACATTCCGGCTGTTTTGTTTATGTCTTGTTTTATGTCTGTAGGGAGATCCACTCTCACATTCCGGCTGTTTTATGTCTGTAGGGAGATCCACTCTCACATTCCGGCTGTTTTGTTTTATGTCTGTAGGGAGATCCACTCTCACATTCCGGCTGTTTTGTTTTATGTCTGTAGGGAGATCCACTCTCACATTCCGGCTGTTTTATGTCTGTAGGGAGATCCACTCTCACATTCCGGCTGTTTTATGTCTGTAGGGTGATCCACTCTCACATTCCGGCTGTTTTATGTCTGTAGGGAGATCCACTCTCACATTCCGGCTGTTTTGTTTGATGTCTGTAGGGAGATCCACTCTCACATTCCGGCTGTTTGATGTCTGTAGGGAGATCCACTCTCACATTCCGGCTGTTTTATGTCTGTAGGGAGATCCACTCTCACATTCCGGCTGTTTGATGTCTGTAGGGAGATCCACTCTCACATTCCGGCTGTTTTATGTCTGTAGGGAGATCCACTCTCACATTCCGGCTGTTTTATGTCTGTAGGGAGATCCACTCTCACATTCCGGCTGTTTTATGTCTGTAGGGAGATCCACTCTCACTTTTCGACCGATTAAAATTGGATGGTTTTATTACGATTTGAATAAAGTTAAGTACTTTCACACTGTATTTTCTTTTAGAAAAAATATAGTTTGATTTCCTTATTTCTTGTTTATGCCACATTTTGTAAATCCTGGAAGGTCATTGTTCTGACATTGGACATACACTGTAGTGCCACCGCACAGACAGTGGACACAAGTATGTGAGACATCTGTTCAAATTGAAAATAGCAAGCATATCTTTTCCTGTTTTCCTTCCTAGTAATGTTGATTTAAAACATTTTCTGTGATGTGTGTACAAAGCCTCATTTGAGCATGACTAGTTTGTCTGTATACGTTACTAGTTAGCAATGTCCACGAGAGTGAACACAAAGATGTCCTGTTAACCCTTTCTTAAACAATGCACAGTCGTTTAGTATGGTGTCAAGAAATCTCCTATATATCTTATAACTCTTATTTCAGTCCAGAATTTTATCTGCAAATGAAATAAAGTGTGTTGGAAATATTAATGTGAATGATAATAAAATTCCATATATATATATATATTGTGTATCTTTCATAAAGAAACTAATTATAGATTTTCCTGTTTCAGGGAGTTTTCAGTGTTTCCGGAAGCACAGAAAGGGCAGACGGAAGGAGTTTTGTAAAGGACCAATGAAAAATAAGCGGAAGTATGGTTCACCTGAAAAATGTTGCGCAAAAAGGGGACAAGGGTTCGCCACGAGAATAGTTAGTTTCCCAATTATCTTCTGTGAGATGTTGAAGAGAGAAAGTTATATTTAAACACACCACCAAAAGGCTGTTTAAAGATTGCAAAACGATAAACAACATTGCGCAATACTTAATCTGTGATCGGGGATAAAAGTCGGGTGCCTAAAGTTGATTGAATGGTATTTAAATTAACGTTAAAACACCTGTTTTCAGTACGTCTTCATTTCCAACAAAATGCTTGATAATGCCATCTTTTGATATGTTCTAACACAATGTACATATCATTCAACATTATCGCCATACTAATGTGTAATAATGGATGGCTTTGATGTTGAAATATGATTTTTAAATGATTTAAAAAAAAAAGAGGATACATTCAGATGAAGAAAATGTCGCCCCAGATTATATATGAATATTTTCTGTGAGGGTTGAAAGGGCGGGATGGGCCTGTTGACAGTAATTAAGTTTCCTGTTTTGTTTTTCAGAAAAAGATTGGAAAGAATCGGTACAAGTGTACTCCCTGTACGATTTTACTCACCACAACTACGCCGGTCACTACTCGTACGTATGACAACAAACACCACAACAGTGTCCATTTCATACAGAAAACAAAACAAGACATGTGTACTAATGTACGACATGTGACTATGTCAAAATATAACATACAATCTAATCGATGTTGATCTAATTTTACAGTTTACAGCCCTATAACTGCACTTTCTTCTGGCAGTTTTGTTTTTAAATGAAATTTTAAGAGAAAATGTCATAACTGTTACAACCGGTACTAAAATGTGTAGGAATAATGCCAAATCCAATAAAAAAGTTTTTTTTTCCAGCGATGCCAGACTGGGGTGAGTGGGGAGAATGTAGTACCTCATGTGGTGCCGGATGGAGATCACGGTATCGAATGTGCACCGACTGTGATAAGAACCACTTCAACAATGTACACTCGGAACCGTGCATGCTAAACTTCTACTGTCCAGGTACTGCAAAACGTTCTACTTTCAGTGTCTACTGTTAGCACAGAAACAGAACACATCTAGAATGGTATTCGAATCGGTCCGAGGTAGTACACTAAATCTTATATCGGTGAAGCATTTCAAGCTGTCTCTTTTGTAGTGGACGGTAACTGGGGGCCATGGTTTGGATGGACTGCGTGTTCGAAGAGCTGTGGAGGAGGGACCAGGATGCGGGAGAGAACGTGTAATTACCCCCCTCCCACCCACGGGGGCCGGGACTGTCCCGGAGATGCCGGGGAGGAACAAGAGTGTAACGAGGCTCCGTGTTTAAGTAAGTTGGACGTCAGATACCTTTTTACAGTCATTTTTTATCATTATTTCTACAGAACAAATCAAATTACATGGATTTTTTCTTCAAACTTCGATCTCCTGTTTTTGGAAACCTGGAGCTTCTGTGATGTTTCTAAAAATAAACTAAAATTACTTCTCAAAACCTAACGAATTTGTGAAGTACACATTACAGATGTGCGTGTAAAATTTTACCTATATCCCTAACATGGCCACTACCTACTTGTGGGATTTCGAAAATGTATATCTAATAATGCTGTTTCCGCGAAACTCCTAAATGTGCATGCCAGAGAGGGATGTCGGTTATCATAATCTTTTGGTTAAATTATATTTTGATTAAAAAAGAGATAGAATCTGTACTTTTAAATTTTCATAAACATGTGTTCTCCTGGCGAGATACTTACAGTTATACAAGTATAGTAACATCTTCGGTGGTACAGAGGTAGGTCCTTATGTTTGATACATACCACTCCAAGTGGCTGTGCTGTGTCAACGCAGTCAGCAACCTTAGGGTCATACTTGCATGGTAACCAAGAAGTGGTATTTTATTTCAGTAAACTCGAACAAAATGTGAAGTGATCGAAGTTACTGGTTTATTTTAATTTCATTTAAAATCAATTTGTTGTTGAATACGGACGTCGTCAGCCTTTCTAGGTTTGAACTATAGAAGTTTGTCAGTAGAATTTCAACAAAGAAAAAAAACTGTTTTAGTGTCTGTAAACTTGGTGAGTTTAAATTTACATCAGTCTTGCTCCAGAGAATCAACAGAGTCCGTATCTGACAATGTCCTTTTCTGCTGTTCTGTTTTCAATGTAAAATGCTCTGTAGGTAACATTTCGTGTCCTTTCGAACACTGCCCCAGTACGACTTTTGTGCTCTAAGCAGGAAACGACTTCTTTCTAGCAATTTCTGTAATTTTTCGTCCATATCTCGATTTTCAACGGTGTTATGTCTGCATTCATATGGCAGTCTCTGGTTACCGCCGCTGGCCAGACATATCGATGTTTTGTTTGGCCGAATCGCTTTTATGTTGATCTTTGATTTCTTTCAAAACGTCATGAAAAGTATCTGGCATAAGTCTATGGCGGAAGTTCCACGGAACGGTACGGTCGCGATCGATGTCTCAGAGATCTCACTATAGAGATCCAGACGGGCTTTGAACCATCGTGGATCCATGCCCTTCGACTTCTTCGGCTCGCACATATGATGAATTTGGATAACGATACCATTCATTGCGATTTTAGTGTAGAACACAAGCGTGTGACGATACCGACACATATATTTCCTCGGAAGCTGCATTTTTTCACGTGACGTAATTATTTTCCATGACGTCATAAATGTTACTGGAAGTATGACGTCATAATGATCACAAATGATTAAAGAAATTGAAATCGTCGATCACGTGACATCGTAAATGGTTAAAATTTTCATATTAGACCAGCCTCCTGCTGGGCTAGGGTTGCGGGGTAAAGATGAAGATCACGGTTGCTCTCTAGCGGCTTCTTTGTAAAGGAATCTCGATCAAAATTTCAGACACTTATAAAGGATTTTGATATCTCACAAAAAATCAAGTTTCAAGGTGGTAGGGTCAAGGTCAGTGTTACTATTTTTTTTTATCTTGTCAGTACTCCAGTAGTTTCATTCCTTAGGAAATTCGATTAAACCTCAAATGCATATCAATGACCAGCACTCTAGTGGTTTCATTCCTTTATGGATGTGATAAAGACAAGGTTAAATCGCGAGGGAATTGGTATCGTTTGCGATGCCTTGTGATCGAATGTTTATCTTTTGTTCTCACATTTTCATATTGATTTGCTGGTCTTCGCAATTAAATCATTTACTTTGAGCATTTCTGTCATTTTACAATAAATATTGCTTGTTGACAGTTAACGGAAACTGGGGAGCGTGGTCCCATTACAGTCTGTGCAGTGTAACATGTGGATCTGGCTCGATGACACGGACACGCCGGTGTGACAACCCGACCCCGCGTCACGGGGGGAAGGCCTGTCCGGGGTCGGGTAGAGACTCAAGGAGATGTACCAACCGACAATGTCCACGTGAGTTTCAATCAGCAAATCTGATTGGTCAAGTTCGAATAGCGTAATGAACACTGTATTTACAAATATAAAAGACTGTCTTTGAAATATTGATATTTTCTGTTATAGAGCATGGAGGCTGGTCACTTTGGGGATCCTGGAATAATTGTCCGGTCACTTGTGGGGTAGGACAGAGGATGCGAACCCGGGAATGTAATAGTCCTCGGCCCCTGTTTGGTGGCCGAAAATGTCAGGGCAGGAGAGAGGAGGTGCTTCGATGTGATGCTGGCCGACCGTGCCCAAGTATGTACAGTTGATATAACCTAAATTTACACAAACCGGGATGGTTTGCAGCACTTACAACCTCTGTGCTGTTATATACCAAACGAAGTCATACTTAAACAGCTTCTTGATTGGAACCTCAGTGATCTTCGAAATGCAGAATTTTGCTCTCGATATCCTCTCCATAAAAATGTCTGAACAAACTCGAAGGCAATTATGAGCTAGACTTAACTGCTACAGAACACAGCATACCTGTGATCTCTATGATAAAAAGTAAAAGGAGACCCGCGGTATTACCACGGGCCTTGCGTATGGTCTGATTTATTCCAAAGGCGAAGAGAGAAATTAAAATCGAAAGCCGCTTCTTTGGATTTCGAAGACGAAAACAACTTGGATGAAAGGGTTGATGTGAAGAAGGTATTCCAATTGTTTAAGGGTCAATAAATGAGGTTCCGCCAAAATTCAATTTTGACCAAGTCTTGTCCGCCATACACCAAGATTAGTAAGATATATATCTATATGATATGACAAGCTCTCAGGTCCCTGTGCGCAACTAACATTTAAAAAAAAAAAAAAACAGAGAGAGAGAGAAAATTGCCTGTCTCGCAGTATCAGCGATTTCGGTGTGAATAAAATGTTGTTTTTCTGTAGGAAACGGAGGATGGTCATCGTGGACAGATTTTGGTCGGTGTCGCGCTGCACGGTGTCAGGAGGGAATACAGATCCGGTCCAGGAGTTGTACAAGTCCCCGCCCAAAATACGGAGGTAGACCATGTGTGGGCCAACCCAAAGAGGAGCAGAGGTGTGTTAACACTATCAATTGTCCCAGTAAGTACAACACGTCGTGTGTTAAAATCTTCATGTTTTACAGCGTGTGATCTTCTAAACAAGGTATTTCATTTCGCTAAATGTGTGAGACTAGTTGAACGTATTCATTCTAGACCGGATAGTCAATCTTTATAAACAACATTTTACTGTTTTATTTTCATTCTTTCGTCGACTGATTCTATAGATAGGCAGATCTTTCCATATTTCATTAAAACATCTAGTTAATGAATACACTTTTAAATCGCAAATCATGTTATCCTAAATGTAAGTATATATATATATATAATTAGTTGAATTGATATTTTACCCTTGTATACAGTCCAGGGAAATTGGTGTGATTGGCTGGAGTGGTCTGCGTGCACGGCCACGTGCACAGGCTTGAGTTCCATGCAAGTGCGACAGCGGAAATGTGAATGCCCCGCCCCTAACACAGGAGGACAAGGTTGTTTAGGTAGGGAAAGTTGTGACCGTGATACGAGTGTTTGGGTGGAGAAAGCAGAATACTGGGCTGGATGAGTTGGCTAGGTAGAAACGATTCTAGACTTTAAATTTTTAGCTTTATGTCGAATGTATTAATTTTTATTCCGAATCATTTTGAGCCCTATCGACTCTTCTCTTATGTCTTAGATCAGCATGATTCTGACTAATATTCCGGAACCCAAAGTGGTAAAATTGAATCTGGGAGTAGAAAAATATTGTCATAAAAATGATCCTCTTTCGGTGTACTGTACTTTTAAAATAAATTTGGATGGATATGTTCTTTACATGCAATCTCTTATTAGTTAGCTGACGTTGTGAGATGATCTAGTGTATTCAAGACTTTAATAAAATGAATGAGAGAGAGAGAGAGAGAGAGAGAGAGAGAGAGAGAGAGAGAGAGAGAGTACTCCTGCATTAAAAGGTTTGTGTAAAATTATTTCCGTGTATGTCATACTATCCCACTGACACGCGACCATTACAGAATAATGTATACTGTCGCCCACCCACGTTATAGAATCATACGACGTCTCAGTCCCTATCCTAGTTAATTACTCTTTGTGCGCGAGACGTGTTGAATAAATTATACTATTAAATATACTCTATTTTAACTTTTTATTTATTTCAAATTTCCGGTTTTCGGATAAGCTGTGGTTTTAAAGCCTTTTTACGACAGTAATAAATAAACATGTTATGAAGATGAAAAGGATTGTTTTTTTTTTTCAATTTCACAGGTGAGAGTTTTGAGGTTCGAGAATGTGTCAATGTTCCCCCCTGCAGAGGATTGTCGGAGTTTTTCCCAGACGGTAAGATTTAAGGATCAGATCACGTCCATGTGATTCCGTTCACGTGATGATGGTACAATATACTAATAAATACGTCCATTTCGTTAGATTTTGATATCACCATGAATATTAGTGAAAAATAATGTGCAGTTTTATACTTACATAAAACATCCCTTGTTTTTGTCCAGGCGATGGCGGACGGAGAGGGAAGGGAGGAGGCGATCTGTTCACTCCAATCACTGGTTCGGGAGATGGAAGTAAAACAAACGGTGACCAGGTAACTTTATCCCGATTAACTATAATCCACGAGTATTTCTGTGTTTGTCTGTCCAGAGTTCGAACAATACAAAGACAATGGTAATTGCAATGCTGTTTTATACAGCTGTGACCGTCAAGTGTGCTCTAGAAATCTGTATCATCATGTAATTCAATGTTAATCCATCTTCAATGTTGTATTTTGAATGGTCCTCGTTTGTGCAATGATTTCTGTTGAATACCTACAATATCCCCATCCCTGGTCAAGCAGCCAGTCGAATGTTGAATCATGTCAATTTTTTGTTTGTTTTTGAAGGAAGATGACCTAGAAAAGAATGTTGTGAACGAACTGTGAATTCGTTTTAACGGAAATTCGGATTAATACACGAGGAAATCGTTATTCTGTCTGTCTAGTTCGCTCGCGGTACCTTCTCTGTGGGACCGACCACAGTGGGTATGCTGACGTAAAAGTGTTCTGTGTGGAGGGGTTATATCAGAACTGGACAGGTGGAATACAAAGACATTATCGAAACAGAGAAAAGACATTGGTTTGTTTGACGAATTCTCCACCATGGAGTCCAACTGTACATGAGCATTCCAGGACAAACATGGTATGGGAGACCTGTGGCGGAACGTCGTGGATATTTCTTGGCTGTACATGTCACAAATACAGTGTACCGCGTAGAGCGTCTGCTGGTTGATCTATCGTCACAAACTATTTACACCCGACACTCATTTGTTCATTTAGATGAACATTAAAATGAAAAAAAGTTGTGATTTATCAAATTTCAGGTTTCTACGCTAGAGTAATATATCTTTAAAAATTCCGTTGTATATCTCATTTTAAACTATATACATGTTTTTTATTGTCACTAAGTGTTGTGTAAATATTCTTCATATGTGTCTGTATCTATAGACTCCTTGTTTGTCGTCACACACTGAAATGTAGACCCTTTCCTAAAGTGTGGAACCTTAAAATTCCGAGACAACTCACATTTTTACGCACATCAAAACATATTTGTAACATAAAACAAAATGTTTAATCTCATAATTTTATGCACCTCACAGGAATGATAACAATCCTAGTATTTTGAGATCGTTTTTATAGAAGAAATAAAATACTAGATATTAGACAATACATTATCATTGGTCCACTTGCTTGAACAATGGAAAATTTTAACCTTTTATTGTCGGTCATTAAAATGGATATGGAAAACCCAATTTCTGTAGGTAACCATATATATTGATCTTTTATCAGTTCATACTTTGAAGCTGATACAACTTCCATTGTATCTGTAGCGATGATTATCTTGCCAATGTGTTGTACCTAGAGTAAGTACTTGGTGGACGTCTTTTTTTAAATAAAATTACTAAAAACCTGAATTTGTGTTATTCCTTTAAGTAGGTTAACAATCATTTTTAGCCAATCATTAGATTATGGGCTGTTCAAATTACCGTTCGTTCATAAACAATACTTACCATCGTAATTTCATGAGAACTACAGAAGGGATATATTTCTTCCTCAAATTTAACATGAATCTTCCATATTTGTGCTCATCAAATACTGAGTTCGGTCGCCATTTTGAATCTTACAGTTGAAGTTTCTTATCACTATTTAATACCAGATTGCCTTACTATGATTGAATATCCCCATGTAATATTTTCCACATCACACGTGAAACCTTGTTTATAGACATCAGACGTTACACATTCACAGACTGCATTTCGAATTAACAAAAAAGACTATATATATATATATGAATTGAACATGACGTCAACTCTGACGTAAAAACTGAAGTTGTCTACCATGTTCGTGTGTAAAATCGTCCGTGTGATAAACAGGCTTAAATTCATTTCCGTTGACTATCCTATTCCTGAAATTTGTCACAGAATTTCTCATTTCAGCCGTCTAAAATGAACATAGGTTGAAACCTGAACTGTTACGTTAAGCATGAAAGTTCTTAAGACTCGTTCCATCAATTCATATCTGAAATGGAAACTCCAGCAAGACCCTAGACTTCACAAGCTTGATCTTATGTTCCATTTCGACCTCGACACGGATCAGCGAAACAAAATCGCCAATAGGCAGCCATCTTGGATTTTGACACTTAAAAGTTTGCTATCATTACAGGAAATATATTTCTCAAATTTTAAGTGTTTGTCTCCATTGGTCCCAAGTCTTGCCCATTAAATTTTGTCTGCTGAAGAAAACAAAATGGCTGACTGGAGACCGCTATAGACTTTAACATCATTATTTCTCAGAATTTTTTCTATAAAAAACCCCTTCCTTCCCAGGAAGAAATGTGAGATTTATTTTGGTAATTAAAGCACCTTAAGATGCTTCCATTCATGAAGAACATTTGATCCTACCATATCAGGGGGTTTGAGAAGAAGTCGAAAATGTTAAATTGTTCTCGGAGGCACAAGGCGGGATGAAGGCAGTTGCAATAGTCATCATGAGACTTTGTCTCAGGTGACATAAAAAGAAAAAGAGAAGTGATGCCCCTAGTTCTGGTAAAAACATTGCATAGATAACTCACGAACCAACAAAATGTGTGACATGTTGCATTGTATGTGACTGGCTTATATGAATGATACTATTATATACTCAGTGAAACAAGAAACTCAACATCTTTTTAACAGTTGAAGTTTAATGCATAAACATTTATCAGAAGTTTTACTTTTGTTCCTCAAAAGAAATATCACAATTAAAGACACTGCATCTAATTCAGACAAGAAAAATAGTAATATATACTTTTTATAATGAAAACTTGTGCCATTATATAATTTCTGTTAAAAGCTCTAGATATTTAATAACAAAGATGTTTGTATTGTGTACCACTTGTTTTAAGGATATATCCTTCCTTTTACAAGTATCACTTAATGAGAGTTACCTCCCTTCAACAAACCAAGTGTTTGTAGAAGACATGACAGAAACAAACATGATCAGCTACAAGGGCTTTATCACTCCTTGTTATGAGTACTAGTACTTGCCATTTAAGTAGACAGTTCCAACACTTGCATAATTAACTTTCAATTTCCACATAATATTGGAGAAAACTTAACTGTACACAGCAGCAAGAGAGATATGAAAAGTCAACAGAAATTGTACACCAAAAGAGAGCCGTGTCACAGTGTTTACTGTAGGTCATATAGTATTCAACAAACATAGTATATTCAAAATTAAAACATTGTTGATTGAATTATTTGTAAGTAACATCCTTTACTTGTAGGTATCTGATATTTTAAGTGTATGTTACATTTCAATGTCAAATGTATACACTAAGTAAGATACAACATTGTATCATTTTATACAGGACAATATATATACTTGTTTTGTAACAATAACAGTTTAACTAGTTCTTTTGGTAGCTGAACAAGGTAATGACATTTTTAAATTGACAGAGTAACTAAACCTGTGTCATGGATATAATTATTCAACATAGGATATGTATACTGTGAAATACATCACAAAATACCTCATTGGAATGTTTGAATACATGAAAGATCCTAAAACACAAAATCTTTAAACAAAATGATATTTTGGCATGGAAAGTATACATTTAATAATGTTATTTTACATATCAAGTAAATATATTATTTTTAATTGCTTTTAATAGGTTATCTAATAAAAAAAGTAACCCGTCACTCAAAGAGTGCCATTCATGTGTTAATATCCAGACAGTCAACTGAACCCTCAATGTCCATTAAACTGTAGAGCAGCAGTCATTTTCCTCATAAGAAATCTCCATAAACAGTGTGACAGGCCATAACTAAATTTCTTCATACTGTTTACTGCCAGCCAAGGTAGTTTTGCAAATTATTGATTATTGAAAAGAACACATTTTGCTATATTTAAATTAAAAATCTTTCATTCTTTTATTGTGAAGTTTGTTGGTGACAAAAATTCAGATATAAATTAAAGCAGTAAGAATTACAAGAAACAGAATTAAATTTCAATTAAACTGTTCGTATTCTGCAGACAAAAATAGAAATGTCAGCATCTTCTATAGCTTTGTGTTTTTATTTTTTTTGTTATTGCAAAATGTTACAAATAAGCTTTACACAAACACCATATTTATCATCATAGAACTTGATTGAGAGAAAAATGTAAAAATATTAAAATTTCAACAATATCTACTATCCTTATCCCTCTGAGGAACAAGAAGTAAAGTGGAAACAGAAAAAATGAAAAGGAATGTAAAAAGAAAAAGACATATATGTAAGCAACACAATTTGCCAGATATTGCATATCACACAGTAAAATCACAAAAACCTTTCATACGTTAATAACTTATATATAAAGCATCTCGTTTTTATCAATAGATTATACTTATGAAAAGTAATATCTTATATCATTTGTTAACATGCAATCTATTCAATGTATAGGAACAGTAAGGAATAAAGGACTTAACAGGAATCAATAATGAACTCCAATATTTGCACAATCATCCACCTAAAGAAAAGTTGAGAAAAACTAACTAAGTTCTTTCAGAACAACAAATAGAAGATGTTTTGGGCTGCTGGTGAAGGAAGTCATCTGGATATGACACAGCACGCCAGTACTATACAAGGAACAGGGAGGAGGGGGTCACAGACTTGCAGGCCAGTACTATACAGGGGACAGGGAGAAGGGGGTCACAGACTTGCAGGCCAGTACTATACAAGGAACAGGTAGGAGGGGGTCACACACTTGCAGGCCAGTACTATACAAGGAACAGGGAGAAGGGGGTCACAGACTTGCAGGCCAGTACTATACAGGGGACAGGGAGAAGGGGGTCACAGACTTGCAGGCCAGTACTATACAAGGAACAGGGAGGAGGGGGTCACAAACTTGCAGGCCAGTACTATACATGGAACAGGGAGGAGGGGGTCACACACTTGCAGGCCAGTACTATACATGGAACAGGGAGGAGGGGGTCACAGACTTGCAGGCCAGTACTATACATGGAACAGGGAGGAGGGGGTCACAGACTTGCAGGCCAGCACTATACATGGAACAGGGAGGAGGGGGTCACACACTTGCAGGCCAGTACTATACATGGAACAGGGAGGAGGGGGTCACAGACTTGCAGGCCAGTACTATACAAGGAACAGGTAGGAGGGGGTCACAGACTTGCAGGCCAGTACTATACATGGAACAGGGAGGAGGGGGTCACAGACTTACAGGCCAGTACTATACATGGAACAGGGAGGAGGGGGTCACACACTTGCAGGCCAGTACTATACAGGGGACAGGGAGAAGGGGGTCACAAACTTGCAGGCCAGTACTATACAGGGGACAGGGAGCAGGGCGTCACAAACTTGCAGAACAATACTAAACTGGGGACAGGGAGAAGGGGGTCACAGACTTGCAGAGCAGTACTATACAAGGGACAGGGAAGAGGGGGTCACAGACTTGCAGAGCAGTACTATACAGGGGACAGGGAGCAGGGGGTCGCAGACTTGCAGAACAATACTAAACTGGGGACAGGTAGAAGGGGGTCACAGACTTGCAGAGCAGTACTATACAAGGGACAGGGAGGAGGGGGTCACAGACTTGCAGGCCAGTACTATACAGGGGACAGGGAGAAGGGGGTCACAGACTTGCAGGCCAGTACTATACAAGGAACAGGGAGGAGGGGGTCACAAACTTGCAGGCCAGTACTATACATGGAACAGGGAGGAGGGGGTCACACACTTGCAGGCCAGTACTATACATGGAACAGGGAGGAGGGGGTCACAGACTTGCAGGCCAGTACTATACATGGAACAGGGAGGAGGGGGTCACACACTTGCAGGCCAGCACTATACATGGAACAGGGAGGAGGGGGTCACACACTTGCAGGCAAGTACTATACAGGGACCTTTCGACCTTAGTGTACATAAGATTATATCACAAACAAAAAAGTTGGTTGATTCCTATCCATCTTGTACATCACATACATCAGTGGTAGAACAAATACAATTTACACTGGTCATTTGTCTGATGAAGGTGATATGTGGCAAAGCCTTGTACTGATCATCTGAAATATTTTGTGAGGGGAGACACCTCTCAATATCACACACATTATTCTCTGACACATTCTTGGTGTTCTGTGAAGTATTTCTCATAGTGTAGTTACAAAATGATATTGTTCCACAATTATGCAGAGTAAAATAAGTCTGTTGATATGATAGTACTCGTTTAAATGTATGTGCTAACTATGCCAACTTTGGTTAAACAAAACTGCATATATCATTCTACATAGAAAGACTATGTGACTAGTTTCTCTCAAGCACATACAACAGTTTTTTTACTTTTGTCTTGTAGAAACGAGAGGATTTAAAAGTAAATAAATCAAAACTTTGACTTTAAGCATGCTGTTGATCAGAGAGCTTTACATAATGGTACCTATCTTTTA